CTTAGTATTCTCTTCTCTTTCTCAAATCCTCTTCTTAGAGGTCAACTAGCTGTAGTCTTCACTTGGGTGTACCACGTGAAGACCACACTTTACCTGTATTGCCACATCCTTAGTGAAGAGTATGCCTAACAGATGCGCACTCTTCACATGCAAACTCATCCTAATGGAGGAAATTGAATCACAATAAAGGAACACAATCAAGACAGTCTCAATGCATTTTCATTCCACTGTGACCAATCACAGGGGCAAAAATTGATGCTCACAACTATGTGAGCGTTGAAATTTTCCTGTTTTGTTCCCATTTGTTTCCCATTTGTTTCCAATTTGTTTCCCATTTGTTTCCCATTTGTTTCCCTTTTCTTTCTGTTTGTCAGCTGATTACGTGATCATCAGGAACTGAGCAGACAAACTAAGCCTTCCTCAGCATTTATTCCTGAGCAAAGAAGTCTGAGGAAGGGCTGATCCATCTGCTCAGCTGATCCTGAGCGGCATTCCCTGGTTCAGTAAGCTCCAAGGGATGCCACCAATGTATAGCTTAGGGGCTGAGCTGAACTGAGTATTCCCTTAGCTAAGTCTCTGAAGTATCCCCCAGATGGATCACAGAGCGCCAAGCTTGCCTCAAGCTTGATGGCTCCGGAATGAAGCCTGAGGCCCGTCTGCTCGTTCAACTGAGCTGCTCAGTTATTCCTCAGGGGCATCCCTGAGATCAGGAGGATCCGGAGGATTTCACTGCTCATTGGATGAGGGGCTGCTCAGTTATTCCTCAGGGGTATCCCTGAGATCAGGAGGATCCGGAGGATTTCACTGCTCATTGGATGAGGGGCTGCTCAGTTATTCCTCAGGGGTATCCCTGAGATCAGGAGGATCCGGAGGATTTCACTGCTCATTGGATGAGGGGCTGCTCAGTTATTCCTCAGGGGTATCCCTGAGATCAGGAGGATCCGGAGGATTTCACTGCTCATTGGATGAGGGGCTGCTCAGTTATTCCTCAGGGGTATCCCTGAGATCAGGAGGATCCGGAGGATTTCACTGCTCATTGGATGAGGGGCTGCTCAGTTATTCCTCAGGGGTATCCCTGAGATCAGGAGGATCCGGAGGATTTCACTGCTCATTGGATGAGGGCCTGCTCAGCTAGTCCTCAGGGGCATTCCTGGCCGGATCAGAAGGATCCAAAGGATGTCACTGAGTATTGGCTGAGGGGCTGCTCAGTTGATCTCAGCCCCTCAGTGTGAAAAACTTTATCCGGGGATATCACTGAGGATTAGCTGAGCAATGAGCAGATGGGATGACGCTTTTATCAGGCTTCATTCCTTAGCAAGGAAGTCTGAGAAAAGTCCGGCCCATCAGTGATCCAGTCAGGGGATGCTACTGAGTATTTGCTGAGCAGCTCAAATGGGACGCCCCTGGGCAGGCTTCTTCACTGAAAAATGAAGCCTCAGGAAGGTATAGTTCATGTGCTCATCTTCATTTTGAACAAATTGCTGAGTATTCAGTGCCTCATGAGCTGATCCTGAGTACTCATCGGGAATCAGTTATTGTTCATCCAAGATGGAAATGAGCCTTCTCAATAAATGTCAAGTAAAATATGAGAACCACAGGATGATCACCTGAACGCAAACAAGATTGTGAATTGAATCAATCTGAAAGAAAATGAATCTTTTTTGGAGAATTCCAAAAAGTCTACAACGCTCACATGTATGTGAGTATCTATTTTGGCCCCTGTGAATGCTGCCATTATATACTATCCTATACTGGATTTGATATACTTGGTATAGTACATCTCCAAATATACTATAGTATAGTCAAAATATACTTGGTAAAATTGAAAGATACTGAAGTATATTTAGAAATACTTGTCAACAAATTATATAGGTGTCTTCCAGGTATATGAGTAGCATAGTATAAGTACAAATATACTGGTATAATTCTTATCATTCTCAGTATAATATAATGGTATAGTATAGTGGTAGCCTTGATTCTACCAAAAGCAGTTGTTACAGAAGGTCACAAGTATGTAACAAGTCCTCTTCATTAAATTTAACAATGTAGAGCTGAGACCTCCATTGCTCAATGGCCACAATTATTGTGTACAAATATGACTTCTGTCAAATTCTAAGGTTTCACAGAATGACAGATCTGAGATACCAAAATTTGGTGGGATCTGTTGTTTATTACAAATTTCAAGATGGACAGAGCAACAGAACAGCAGATCACACCAAAATTTTGGTATCTGTTGTTCTGTGAAATCTTCTGTAAAATTCTAAATTTGCCATAAGCCGTATTTGTACACCTTACTTGGAGGGTAACCCAGGTTTCATTGTAGAGACACACCACCAACCCAAAAAGAATGACTGGTGAGTTTTGTTTTTGCAGTAGAGCTCCACACTTTAGAGACTAGTGTCTGTCATTGTGGCTTTGTAAGTGTTCTCTCAGGTCTGGCTCACAGCACTGAGGTTAGCGTGCAGTGCTGCACTGCGCTGTGTGCACCACTGCTGCTTAACTACCTGGATAGTGGATATCCCAAGGACTACATATTTTGCTATCCATTGGGGCCAGAATATCTTGGAACTACATTTCCAACTACCAGCACCAGGGTTTAGTAAACATATCATCATACTGTGTGCTAAATCTTGCATCTCACCAATATACCCTTCATCCAAAGACTCTCAATTGTTGATAGAAGATGAGAAACAATTGACTCAAGAAGTGAAGATCTTAATATTAGGTTCTGGAGAGTTAGTGTTTAAATTGCAATCAATCACTTCTTTCATCCTCATTAATTTATTTTATATATTTTTCTTCTGTTGATCAGGTTGGATAAAACAACCATACTTCAACAAATGCAAATTGTTCATAATTGTGGTGGTTTGACTAGTACACAGAGAGAACACTTGTCCTAGCTTTCAAAGTAAACTATAACATAAGAACTCAAACAAATTAGTTACATTTGATCTGCAGACATGAGAACAAAACCTGGACCAAATATATATACATAGCCAAATCCTGATCAATGCTTTTGACCCCTGGTTCATGAGGTTTTGTCTGACACAGGCTAGAAAAGACACCCATGACAAGGGGCCCTGCAGATCACTACATGATCATCCAATTCCAATGATCTATCAAAATTGTTGCTGCCCAACATATTATCAACATCATGTCCTATCCCAAAGTTGTGCATTTGGTCTGTAATCAGCATACAAACTCCAGAATTAGGGTACTCAAAGCAAGTATGTACATGTACACACTTTTTCTACATATTTTTTTTGCAGGGAAAACAAGACCAAAAGTATATTTTTGTTTTTTCCCCGCCAAAAAAAAGTACCTAGCGCAAAGTATGTATGCCTACATACTTGCTTTGAGTACCGCAAATGTATACTCTCATACCATTCCCCATTCCTCTGACTCTCCATCAAGAAAAATGACAGATACAAGAGAATCATGTAAGTTAAGTCTGAGGAAAATACTATGGAAAAAACGCATTCTAATTTCTAACAGTCTCTGTCATACTTGAACTTGCACCACCATTCAGACAATTTATTTTTGCCATTTGTTACAAGTTTGATTCTGTGTTATGTACATTATGCATACATATGGTGAATGGTCCCTCACTTTTCCTACTGTATACAGCTGATACATAAGTAAATGTTGATGGCGTGACTTATCTTTTGTAATTTATGTAATTCATTGTTACAAAGCCTATAACCCTAACCCTATATATACCCACACACCCTCACTTTTTTCATTTTTACTTTCCCACTTTGCCCCGCTCCCAGTGACCCAGTCCCTTCTTGGCGTTGTACCCCCATGATCCGAGCTCAGTGCTGCCCCGTCCAACTCTGATCAATCCGATCCGATCCGAGGGCGCTGATTTGATCTCCACATCATTTGACCAAAAATATTTGATTTCCATTCTCGATCCGCGCTTGTTGATCATCCTTTTCAAACTTGTGCAAGAACCATGCAAGACCGACGTGTAAGAAACGTGCAAGTTCGGTGCAAGTTCCACTCATATCTTGCACAGAATTTGCATGAATCATTTCTGAAGTTTGAATGCATTGCCATAAATCTGCGCCTTTCGGTAGCTTTTGACTGTTCTAATTGGACGGTTGTTTCGCGTTGGCTATTTTAATAGTCGTTGTTTATTTGTTTTCTCCTGAAAGATACAAAGATTAAACAAAGATAAACAACTCAAACACTGGCTGCCGATCTGAAACAAAAGTTTCACTGTCGATCACGAAGAAAATATACCAAAGCAGCGTAAAAACATTGGTAAAGTGAGACTGAGGGGTATTGGCTTCAATGACATTCTGCTTGCCCCAGCGGTTGAAAGCAATTATGCAAGGTGTTCAACTGGATACATACATAGTTGTGACTCAGCTGACACTTACGCAAGCAGGCAAAGCCGGGTTGTTCGATGACCTTGCAATCAGGCCGACAGCCTCCTTTCGTGAGCTTATTCATAATCTATCATGTAGGCTGAGACTGGGACATATATTCATCAAGAATGTAAGTCCCCTGGGCAGACCACCCTGGGCTTCCTCTCACAGCCCCTCTGGAGTCTGTCTCAATCAGCTGCCGAGATTCAATTATGTGAATAGAATCTTATGAACGGGACCGCACCTGTGGTTCGATAAGGAAGGGTTGAAGGTCTACCGTCTCCGTACATGGATAGATAGACTTGTGAAAGGATTGTTGTCTATATAAAACTCAGGAGTCTTTCATATAAGATGGGGCGAATAAACAGAGTGTCTGAGGAGAAGGAGGCGGTGGTTCTCTAAATGGGTGGGGGACTTATGACCATCTGGACTCATATTAATCTATATATTGAGATGAATTACCTAACAGGGGGACTGGATTGATGAGTTGCAGACTGTGTAAATTGGAAATACGTAGGAATCGATAGGGTTTACATGTTGAAGGTTGAAACTTGAGAGTGTGTATGTAATTTTTTTTGTATAAGATAAAGAGACTCATTCGATTTCCATCTCCCCATTTCCCAACTTCTTTTGAAGCCAAAGCAGATCACCGTTTACCATCTTAACTTATCAGTCTATCTCTCACTCACAAAACAATACCGTATAACAACTCTACTGTCTAATAGTCTATCTTTGAACCTTCAAAGCTCCTCAAATCATGTCTCATTCGAATGGTAATGCTTCCAATGGACACCACGCAAATGGAAATGGATCAGTACCACTCCCTTCTGACACCCTAAGCCCTACTTCACCGGATTTCAGGCAAATGTCCAACGTCAACGAGTACATCACCTCACCTACTTCCCCAAATCACTCTGCCGGACCAAACCTTGGTAGATGGTCACCTCACACACCTTCATCTGACAACACCAGACCCCGGGATGTTGGAATCTGTACGTTATATGTTCAGAAGCTCTCACTGGTGAAAAGCCTCAGCTGACATTGCTCTAAACTTTACAATCCGATCGTGATTCAGTGGCCATGGATGTTTATTTCCCTAAACGGTGTGTTTCACAACCCGATCTTGAAAAATTCGATCAAGTGGCCGCTGGAAAATATACCATCGGTTTAGGTCAAGAGCGCATGGCGTACTGTGACGATCGTGAAGATATCAATAGTTTCCTTTTGACAGGTTAGTGCTTTGATTTATTTGGACTCTCGCGTCATTTTCACACTTGCTTACACATCTCTCTTGTTTCAATGAACCAGTGACCCAATCTTTGTTACAAAAGTACGATATTGATCCTCGATCAATTGGTAGAATTGACGTTGGAACCGAATCCATCATTGATAAATCAAAATCAGTCAAAACTCTACTTATGGATCTTTTTGCTACATCCGGAAACACCGATATCGAAGGAATTGACTCCAAAAACGCTTGTTACGGTGGTACTGCCGCTCTCTTCAACGTGATCAATTGGGTCGAGGGAAGCAGCTGGGATGGACGATACGGTCTCGTCGTTGCAGGTGACATTGCAGTCTATGCCGACGGTCCTGCTCGACCAGTTGGTGGGGCTGGAGCAGTTGCTATGCTCATCGGTCCCAATGCACCTCTTGTGTTTGAGCGTGAGTGTCTTAAGTGTTGCCCATTACTCTTTGTTCAATCGAAATTGACGTGATCCCAATTTACCTTTTTGAAGCCACACACGGCACCCACATGATCAATTCATGGGACTTTTACAAGCCTGAACTCGCTTCGGAATTCCCCGAGGTAGACGGGCCACTTACTTTAGTAGCTTACCTGTCAGCCTTGGACAACGTCTATGACCGATACAGGGAAAAACGATGCAAAAAACTCGGGTTGAAGCCCTCAAGCGCTGATCAGGATCCTAAGGCTCAACTTCAGTTAGATTATTTTGATTACGTAGCCTTCCATGGACCTTACGGAAAATTGGTGCAAAAGGCCGCTGCCCGTCTCGTAAGTCTTTGTACAATATCGTGATGTTTGTACGTGCCAATGACTCTTTGTCTCCTTGCAGTTATACCTAGATTTTTTGAGCGACCCTGATAACAAAAAATTCGAAGGAGTCGATAAGGCCTTGGCATCCATGCCTCGCTCTAAGACTTATAGTCACAAGGACCTCGAGAAGACATTCTTGAAGCTTGGAAAAGAAATGTACGACACAAAGGTAGTCCCTACCACCAAATGCATGAAACAACTCGGAAACATGTACACGGCTTCGCTTTACGGTGGATTAGCGTCTCTTCTTGATTCAGTTGAAGACGCATCGAGCTTTGTGGGTAAGAAGATAGCCATGTACAGTTATGGTAGTGGGTTGGCTTCTAGTTTTTTCGAAATCTCTGTCAAGGGTGACGTGAGTGAGATCAAACAAAAGATGAACTTGAGCAAGAGGCTAGAAGAAATGACCGTGAGCTCGTGTGAAGAATGGCAAAAAGCTCTTCATGTGAGTAATTTTTTTCTTGTGCAACTATCATTTATCTCAGTCTTTAAGTTGGCGGGGCTAATCAAAAAAACATTTTCCGCATTTGTATTCAGTTGAGAGAAGAAAAGCATAACATCAAGGACTACACACCTACAGGTGAACTTACTAACTTGTGGCCTGGACAAACTTACCTAGAAAGTGTTGATAAGACGTGGCGCAGAACCTACCGTAGCACATGATAAATCCTTACCCACTCACTAAAAAACCAATCCTCCTATACTATACGTGTCAAAACTCAATCCCTTTGGAAAAAAACACCGAAACACGATATAACTAGTCTCGTAAATTATTGTTATAAAAAAATAAAAATCATGATTCTATACGACACTATGCTCTATATATACTCTTTCTTTCTTTCTTGCTTGCTTTACCACTGATAGTATTCAATTAAATCTCATAATGGCCAAATTTGACTTGGCTTCAATGAAACCCAAGTTTGACGGTCTGTGCTGCTTACCAGTAGAGAATTGAGATTGAGGTAACTACTGAGTTGCTGGGTACCAAAAGGGTACTGTGATAAAGACAAAAGTGAAGTGTGATTTGATTTAACTGTTATGAGATATGTGGCAGAGTGCTTTCTTCCAATTTGATAGAAGGTGATTGATGAATTCACCTATCTGATTCTGACAAAATTTCAGATGGTCACTACACAAAGACGCTTAATCATATCGAATTGGTAGTTACTCAAAAAGTAGGCAAACTTTTCATTGACACGAATTTCAAGAATCACTCTTTCATAGACTTGATGGTATCTGGACATGAAGTTATCTTGAAAAGATAGTTTTTGCAAAAGATAGGGGTCCCATTTTCTCGATGACATTGAATTTTCTCTTATTCCTTTCCTTTCCTTATCAGAATTGCTTCTCAGAATTGCTTGTTTATTCTGACATTCGCTGTGGTCTGCGATACATAAACCTATTCCACAAATTCAAGTAACAATTCTAGAGCAATTTTGGATCCACAACCATTATGCCCTAATCGTGTATCCACTGTCAAAAGTGGAAAGTAAGGAAAGTATCACTTGACTCTATGTACCTCGACTTCATAGTTTTCTCTGCTTGGTCATCAAGGGCTGATAAAACCCCCGACCTTTCCTTGACATACACATCTTTGAAGATTCAAACTCCGTCTGTCAGATGTCATCCAACAAAAGTCTTCGCAGTTTAGTTCCAATTTGAAGGTCTATGTACAGTCATTTAAGAAAAGCTTGCCCCAAATTGCCCGCAAAACTCAAGCGAATTGGCGGGGAATTTGGGGCAAGCTCTTCTTAAATGACTGTATTACCTATATCTTATCTCCCAATCATCGTTCCCCAACGCTTTTGTCCATAGGGTTTTCCATCTTTATTTCCATTTCAAGGGTCTTCTTGACTTGCGTAAACATATTCCTTGTCACTTTAGCTATCACATAGCAGGAGAGACAGGCAATTTCATTCAGCCAAAGTAAGGTCTCGTTAAGTGAAATCGAGACTAGAGTCTGGAATGACCTCACAACACTTCAGAAGACACATGGTTCAAACTGATATTCAGAATGTGAATCTAAACGCTTTAAGCCTTTCATTGAGGATGCAAATTATCAACTTTATGACTTCCAGAAGATTTTGTCGATGTCCATCAGAACTTCACAAACATGCATCACCAAAGAAATGTTCCTTGACAAGGCTGATGAATGCTTAGTGCCTTTTTCCCTCCTCCCTTGGGGAGTTGGAATTGGTGAGCCACTCTGTCATGCACATGCATCAGGCCCTATGTCTAATTTTCATCTTCATTCGCTGCCTACAATTTTGAATCTGCCACCCTCCAAACCTCGGCCTTTTTTATTCAGGACCAAATATAGTCTGCGCAATGCTTCATACATATCTTGTTCCTAGTGCCGCGGCGATGCATTCATTCATGATTAAGGAACCTTTCTAGATGGCAATCCTATGAGCGGCCAATCTGAGAAAAGTCAGTCTAAACACTAGACAAATTTCCCGAAATTTTTTATATAAAATGACAGCCTCATGATATCAAGGAGACCTTCCGTTCGCATACTACATCGTATTCTTTATACCAACAATTTCGCAATCTTACTCCTCTCGACTTCTTATTTTTCCGCTACCGTTACACCATTCTTGAATACTTCTATCCTCAATTAACTCTTCTCAAAAATGCCTCAATTAACTTTATCCCGTTCACGCTTCGTTGTCGGATCTGTGCTCCAGAGCTTGGCGCCGAAGTCAAGATCAAAGAAACAACAATCATCTGATTCTGATGTGAATATTCCTTTGATTGTCCATCAAAGTATCAGGAAGCTGTCAATCTCGTTAGAAGGATACTCATCGGGCGCTTCTCTTTCCATGTCCTCAAATTCAGGCCCATCGGACCGCAGAAGACTCGCTACCCCTTCCGGAAGACACGGAGGTGAGCTGACTCCTTCACGTCGACCGCATAAGATAGTCTTTATTGACGCGCTCTATTTTAACTAAACAGTCCGAAGATATTCATGTTGATCCACATTTCAACATAAATATCTTAAAAAGATATAATGCTCAATGTTCGGTAAGCTACTTCACATCATTAGCTCTACATCCATTCAGCTCGCATGTCGCGTTCGGGGTTCTAAGTCTTTTCATGTCCATAGAATAAAAAGCCATTCAGAGAGCCTCCCGTCAGCGAAAATTTCTCACAGCGGGTCATAATGGAATACGAACAAGTTGATACCGATGACGAGCGTCCAATTGCCCGCTTTCCACAAGCGCGGCCCCTCGTGAGTTTTCAGGCAGAGGCTCTACTCGGAATGTCCATGCTGATATCTCTTTCTCTTTCGACCGATCTTGCCAGCCAAAACGACGCCAGCCAAAGAAGCGTCAGTCAAATCAAGTTGAGGAGTCTTCCCTTTCACAGCGTAGCCAGTCCATTCGGAAGGCGGATTCGAATGCCAAAATGACGTGGAGTGAGACATTGGCCGCAAGATTTGAGGAAATGTCACTAGCGTCTTGCGGTCTCTGCGTTGTAAGTGCACCATGTCTTTTTTATTTTCCTTGGAGAATTATTGATCAGGTAAAAGCAAATGTGGTGACCATGTATGCTCATCATGTCTTTCATTCTACCATAGAACTTGGGTATTGAAGCAAAAGGAGTACCCACACTTGAGTCCGAGAACCAATCGGATTCGCAGCTTGCGACGCCAAAAGCAGTCAACCAGAATTCTTTCATGGAGACTCCGAGGTTGACCTTATCGACCAGCACTCCATCTACGAATGAAGACTTTCTCACTCCTGCGAGGCCCAATGTGAAACCTTTGGGCGATAGGGTTTACATCACTCCTTCTCCGCCGATCCTGTCCGTTTCCCGAGTCACTCGACGTAAAATCCAACCGGGAAATTATCGAGCGCTTCATGATTTCACGCTTCTTTCGCCGGTACGATTCACATCCACTGTCTCGCCAAGAGGTCAAAAAGCCCTCTCTGGCTCTGGAGTGAAAAATATCAGCCCCAAGATATTCCTTCCTGAGTTACGTGAACAGGCTCGAACATGGCGGGAAAGAGATCTTGAAAAGGCGGAGGTGGAAAGCATATTATCAGACACTGAGAGTCTGATGGATCCATTCATTCACAAATGTGGAGTTTTCAGGATGGCGAAGTGACTTATGTCACGCGCTTGTGTCGTTCTATTATGTGCACCTGGTTCTTTGTTTTTGATATTCGACCGTGACTCTTTGTTGACTGCACGTCACTATTTTACCTGTTGTTTTCATTGTCGTACATCTTTTGTTTTCTTGCCTCAAAAAAGTAACCTACTTCTTTTAGTAGGCTTAGTTCTTCATACTCTTAAATTACTAAAATTGATAACCTGCTGTCTCACAAGGGTCGCTTTCTTTACGCTTGACCATTTAGGACCAAGTCATCTCGCCTTGCTGCCTGCGACAGTAGGAGAGGTGCCGCAGCCCCAGTCGCGGCACAATGGCCTGTAGACTCCATAGAGTTGAGTGCGAAGCTTGGAATGCGCCAATTTGTGAACCGCGTGACGTACAACCACATCAAGAAGTTGGATTCACATGGCCAAAAAAAATCCAGAGCTTTGACCATCGTAGATGGGTTTATAATTCCCTGACTTTAGTTTCTTCTCCCTCCTCGTATTCAAAGATTCTCAGGTCCCTAGATTATGACCTTCCGATTCATCTTCATTTCTTTACTTGGCGAGATCGTCTTACAACAATATAGTCTTACAACATCATGTATTCAAGATACTAAAACTGATGAGGGCGGAATCGAGATCCTCATTACCCTAGCTAGCTTTTGCCCGATTGGGTACCTGATTGTTTTCCTTACCAAATATCCTCTTTACAAACCAATTGACTACTCCGATGCTCACGCGTACCGCCAGAGGCGTACGGCTAGATTCTGTCGAAGGTAACCGAGGATCCATTCCCAATGGGCACTTGACCCCGAACACCTTCTCACCTGCTCCGACTGTCATCAGTCTTAGCGCTGACCGAAATCCGTCTTCGTGAAATCCGTAGCCAGTCCAGGCTCCTACAAAGCTCATCCTGCCTTTGGTCTGGATCTCTGAAATCTTATCCTGCGCCGCCACACTCTAATATACCAGCTTGTCAGTTACACCATCTAGACTTGCAATTTGAAAGATGTGCACCCACTTCGGCCGAATAAACAGGGTGATGATACGTCCACCTTCCGATGATATCTTTAGGAAAGATCGCATTATCGGGAGGGTTGAGACTGACAAACACAGGTCCGTGCACGCTCTCTGGTAACGTATCAGGCTGAAGCCGATTCATCCAGTAAGTCCTTTACATAGTCAGTGATAGTCAGTAATTGACATTGATCTTGTTTTGCAACAATCGAACTAGAAGAGTAGTAAGGGCAGACCAACAGACAAACGGTGTCTTCCAAGGAACCTTTCTCATAGGCCTCTCCCGAATCGTGAATCAAATAATTCCAAGCTGTCCAACAGTTACGTTCTTTGGGCATAAGGCTCGGATCAGAATGCAGCACTGCGTGGTTGGCAGTACAAGAAAATCGAGATAATGTGGATAATGCCTGATCGCAGGCTGTGTCCGATGCAGAGGATGCCAGGATTTTTGATGTCTCGTCGGCGTGAGAAGCAAAAATCACCTGATCAAATGGCCCATATTCTTTCCCAGATTCGAGTAAGACAGTAAGCTTATCATCTTCCTCGCGGCGAATGGAGGTCACAGATGCACTTGTGTGAAGTTGAGGTTGAGGAAGTTTCCGCAATATAGCTTTTACATAGGTGTGAGCGCCCCCCGGGATTGTTAACCACTCTGGCTGGCCGAAGACTTGAAGTAGGTGATGGTTGGACAGAAATCGTACGAGGGTCTTTATCGGGAATAACAGAGCGGTTTTGTCTGCCGGGGTTGACCAGATGGCAGAAGTCATTGGCTGTTCGAATTGAGGTTCACATTTAACCCTATGAAGTCTCAAGCTGAACCCAGCAGGTGTAGGGAACGAAGGAGCGCACCAAAAGGTAATGACGCCTGAAAACATCTGAGTAGCCATTTTCGTTCAAGTATTCTCCAACACTTAACGATGGACGTGGATCAAGCAGGGCATCTGGGGCGTTGACATTGAAGCGGATTATATCCCACAACATGCGACCTTGAGCGCGCCAATCAGATGCTCCAGCAAATGCTGCCACTACACCTGTCCCAGCCCACTCATACTTTGAACCGACGCGAACTGAGAAAGACATTTCGGAGGGGCCACTACGAACGCCAAGTATATTGAGAAGTCGCGTGAAGTTAGGATAGGTGAGCCGGTTAAAAACGATGAAACCAGTGTCCACCATAGCATTGGTGGGGAGTTCGACGGTATGGGTATGGCCACCAACATAATCATTTGCTTCGAACAGCTCGACTTGGTGCTCGGAATGTTCATTCAAAAGCTGATCAAATCGTCAGTGAAACGTCAAGTACAGATCGTTCAGAAAATGTCTCAAAAGCTCACCCAGACAGCACCTAGTCCACTGATACCACCTCCAATGACGGCTACCTTCATTTTGGAATGAGCGAACGAGAGGCAAAGGTCGATCTGCGGGGCTAGACATCCTTCGACATCGATGCAGTGACGTCTTATTACGTCTTGGACGTCAACGGTCAATACCCAAAACACCGGGGCCGGCGCCCTGACCGTCAGTCAACTTGAGTCACCCCCCACTGCAACCCATCTTGAGTGACGCAAGAGTGCTGGTGATGACTTCACTGAAGTCTGAAAAGGCTTACAGGTATGGAAGTTGACAGTGCAAAAAGAATGTCTCTATGCTTCCTTCAGCTTGAATGACACCATGTTTTCTAGTATTCAATTGACATGCTCAAAATTATTTCCCAGACTGATTACTTCCTGATTTTAGATTATGTATCTCAATGAAAGGTATTGCAGGATCCATGAACCTGAACTAGAAGTTGTGATATATGAGATTGTGTCAAGATTTGGAATCATTGATCCTTGACTTTCACAGAAGGCTTGAATGAAGTTAACACTTGCCACTTTGCTTCAGACCTTGGCAACTCCTCACAACTGGAATGTTGACTTAGCTTTCAGAGTAAACTATAACATAAGAACTCAAATAAATCCGTTACATCTAATCTGCAGACATGAGAACAAAACCTGAACCAAATTATATAAATACATAGTTAAATTTCAATCAATTCTTTTGACTCCAACCCTTATATACTCTTTTTAATCTGATATTTTCAGTCATGCCAGGTCTGAATGTCAAGTTTCCTTTATAATCCAAAAGTTGCCACCATCTGAAGTCTCCTCTTCACCACAGCTGAACACTCCTCTGCATTGGTCAAAAAATATGTCTCAGAGAAGACATGAGTATGAAGATCAGCTGAAAGTCCAAGAAAGGTTTGTCTGCCACCTATGGGTCAAATATTTTACAATGAAGCTCACAAAATATACCGGCCAAGCACAAGAGACTTGGCAACATGAAGAAGTGGTGCTGTCAAGAAGCGTAGTGAATGATGGCAATAGAGTGGATTTGATACTGCGTCTTTCAAACTCCATCAAAGGCACCAAATTAAAAGCTTTGGGGAGAGCTCAAGTAACCACATGTGGAATCCATGGTAATAGGCCGATTATGCTATCTGGTACCCATTGGCATTGGTTTAATTGTCTCAGCATACAGGTAATTACTTGGGCACAAAGTTTGAAAGTTTGGCACCATCCTTTAATTATGGTTCTGTTCATTTGTCAAGGTTTTGGAATCTACAAACTTCCTCAATCAATTATATTTCTGCCCAAGCAGAGCTTTTGGGCACAAATAATCTGACGTTGATTGGATGTTAGCAGGCTGCAATACATTGAAAATCTTGTCCTTCAGTTATACAATGGTGATGATACGAATACACGACACAGAATCTGAAAAGTACAGTTAAACACTGAACTCAATAGCAAAACCTTCCCGTTTTGATTTTCGAAGGATCCTGACGATAAAAGAAAGCCAAGAGGGCCCAATGTGAGCGACATATGAAAGTTTTTCTATAGAAATTGTTGCCTATATTTCACACTTTCTCCTGATCACTCCGTGAAAATTACTGGAGCATACCTCAGCGAATGTCCTAGCGTCTTCAAACATGTCTATGGCTTGACTCGTATGCCAATACACGTGAGAAGAAAAACGGTTTAGAATGTGTGAGAGGTACTTGAACGATTTCCCCGGTGCGTTTGTTGATAGTGGCAAGATGAAGAATTTCGAGTTTATTCCTGTCAATGAGGATTCAAATTCAAGTTGGATATCAGTTATCTGAACATCAAACAATTGAAAAAGCAAGGGTTCCCAAATCCGCTGACATCTTTCCCCGTTGTGTGCTCTTAAGCCGGCACCTCATCTGTAGCTTATACGTTAGCTGGAAATTGCTTGGTGGCAATGTGTCTGAAGAGTCCACAGTTGCACGAATTCTAGCGTTTGTGTGAGGCATTGCGCGCTCTTCGAGGTCCCAAATGTTGATCAAATCACCCACAAGCTCCCATTTACCGATTGTGAGGCCCTTGGCGCGTAGAGGTTTGTCAAATGTGCGAACTACTCGAGCGGGGTGATCACTTGTAGTGAAATTGAGACATGTGCCATCAGGAAAGAAGCGCAAGTATCGGTAGTAGGTGACAAAGTGTGTAGGCTGTTGCGAGGCATCGTCAGAGAACGATGGATGAGAATAGACGTTAAAGTGAAATCATGAGCGAGACATCAGGCGATGGCTTTGTAATGCATGGACTAACAGTATACCAAGGATTGTCAGATTCCCCTAGACGAGGATAGCTGATAGGTGCAATGAAGCAACCATCTTCGCGCACTCGAGGTCTGCCATAATTTGGATCAATGGTCAGAGCTGCTCATATATGGAATCAGAAAGACGTATAAAAACTTGAAATTGAGATGAGAAGGGATGATATAATGTTGAAGGCAAAATGGTAACTCAAACTCTTCAATGTACATTCGACGCCAATCCATACCATGCCACCTGTGACAAACATTCCGAATGGCATCTTTAGGGTCCCGGGTGATACAAGTATCATCTTTCAAAAATTTGCGACTGTAAGTTTCTTCACAAATTGGTTTCCAAAGTTGATCTTCGAGCATTAACAATCTACTCAACCGTGACACTTGTGCAAAGCGCTCGATAAGAATTGCATGCGAATGTATGAAGGTAGAATTGCAAGGCTTGAGATACAAGTGGAATATGTATAACAAAATCTCGTGCGGTAAAGATCGTAAAGGACAGGGTAGAGTCAAGTCATCAGGCTCGAATTGATGGTTCCAATCGGGTTGCGTCGATGGTTCGGCATAATCACTTTCGGGTTGTTTGACCAGTGAAGATCGAGAATCCAAGGTAAGGCCAGATGTACCCGCGTCTACCGCACCATTGGAAGGTGATGCATCATCGATAAATTTGGATGTCTCAAAAACGTCACGAGACAGTCCATTTTTTTCAGCAGTCACATTTTCTTCGCTTGTCTCCAAGTTTTCTTCAGGCGAAAGTGTCGGGGGTCGAATCCATGGATTGTCCTTATAGCTTTGCAACAATCCTCGACGCAATTTCCGTGTGCTGCTTGGGTGATTATCAATTTGTTCTTTTGGCGGTGACGCAAGACGAACATGTTCTATACGAGTGCGCCTATTCTTGGGCAATTTCTGATGAGTTGACAGAGCTTGGGGAAGGCCAGGGAGGTTGTGCGCCATAGGCAATACTGTATGAGATTGAGCAGAACCCTCCATCTGATAATCATCTTCAGTGTGTATAGGTCTAGAGTATTTGAAAGGCGTATTATTGTCGCGAAAAGCCGTTGTTTTGCCTTTGCCATCGTGTTGCGTTTTGCCAGCCTCAGCTGGTACGAAGGTGATGAGGCTTTGATATTCCGATTGATCTAGCCTGTCGAATTGTTGCTCGAGTGCTTCAAGTTCTTGAGTGTTGAGGCAGTGATACTGACGATCGACCGCGGGATCAGCCTTGAATGCTGTACGATACAAGTCCAGAGCATTGTCCAACAAGCCTATCTTCTCGTAGTAGACGGCCATTGCATAAGTAATCACAGGTGAGTGGGCTCTCCGGTCAGGCATTCCATTAGTATTCGCAAATCCCAGGGTATCACTCGATTGATCAACATCCGAATGAGTTGGGTCCAGCCGCTGATCAAGATAACTATGATTTCTTGGAGACGATGGGCCTGGGTGCTGAGATGGAGCTGGCTCGGGCTCGCACAGGCGCGACGAATGAATCGGAGGGACTGGGCCCGTAATAGAGTTGTTCTTATCACATGAGGTAGTAGTAGGGAGGCGTTTGGTGCGTTCTTTGACTTCGTTGAGCCAATCGTGTCTGAATGACTCTAACAATTGTTGAGTAGATGGATCGATTGGGACTGGTGTTTGAAGAGACGACGATGAAGGCTGGGAAGGGTTCATCAAGGACAGAGTAAAGAATCAAGTAATCAGCGAGACCGAGGTTTGGCGACTATGAAGGAAGTGTAAACCCTTCTATCGATGGCTTTACACCTTACCACACTCCTAAACTTAACTAAGTCCCTGCCCAATTTGGGGGGTCTCTGAGTTGTATTTATGCTGTTGATATAGAAAAAATCAATCATCAGGCCTCCCATGACTCCTCCTGGCCTCTCACCACACCGTTGCTCCCATTTGCTCAACAAATTTCCTGATGATATCAAAAATGTTTTAAGCTAAGGAGATGAACGTGGATGGAAGGATATCAGGCCTTGGACTCCCCTTTGCCTTTGATTTCCTGTACTTGATTTGATTTCCAGTTGGTCAGATTTTGTCCTTGTTGACATGGTCTCAGTGCAGGGCTGCGTGGCTACTTTGGTGGCTAACTTTTATACTAGATATTGACATGATCAAAGCTCAAAAACAGGCTTTGAAGGTTTCCAACTCTTTTTTGAAAGATGAGCCTTGTGAGGTTTTTGATTCACAGACTCAGAAGGAATAATTGAAAGAGAGCTTCATTCTCTTGTTAACAGATCATGAGATCACAGCATTTCATCATGAATTGTGACTCAAAGTCACAGTTTTGAAAACAAGCCACTGTGTTCTGGAGTTGATCAAGAAATTGGGTACCCTTCCCTTCTGTAATTTATGACTTGAATCAATTGTTGTCACACTGACTTACTTCTTTTCTAGTTGATTTAATTTCGCCTCACTTTGATCTGAATATAAATTGATTGGGTCCCATAAAGCTCCACTGAGGTGAGTAGCTGGCACTGAGTCACCAATGAACAGTTTTACATATCTTTGAAAAAGATGATATTCTAAATACAAAACTACTTGGGACAGAGTGGTTGCTTCAATCCCAAATGAGTGGCCCCTTGTCCTAACAAATCAACAATATTACACCTGATGTTGATCCCTCATCAGATCACACCAGCTCATAACACCAATTAGGCTCCTGGACAATCATTAATCCTGAAAGAACATCGAGGGAAAAGTGAGAAAGAAGCTACTATCAAGCTTGCCCACAGATTGAGAGCAAAGCAGTATTGAGGAGCATGATCAAAACAACATAAGATGGAGGCAGATTTCTATTAGAGGGTACTTTTTATCACACCAACAGATTAGGGAACCAATTTCATACAAGAGCTAATACTACTTGAACCAAGAAACCATACTCTTATCAGAACTACAAGTGTAATCACTTTTCTGGTGAATCAGAGATATGGGTGATGACCCCAATTTATTTATTTTTCTCTTGTTTTACTTGATGGAAACAGAAATACTGAAAAAGAATGCTTAAAACACCAACCAGGTGTTTATGTGCCAGTGACCTATAGGAACATAATAGGTCTGTCTTTTGATGAATATAGATCTGATCAAAAAATGATCATCTACAATATTTTTTCACTTGTATGAGATTAGTGGAGAACTGGTCTTTATTGAGAAGATATGAGGAAAGGGGCAACAATGGGTCAAGTGATCTTTCAGTGAACCAACCCAAGTATGGTTTTGGCTCCATTCAGTTGACACCCCAAGTCCAGTTTGATGTCTAAACAAATGATAGCTGTAGTCATCTACCGGTGTTTTTAGATGCATGGCATGGCATAGGTAAGGATATGCGGTGTTGATAGCTATGAATATGGCTCACTCGGAACAAATGTCAAAGGAAAAAATGTAGTTGATTTGGCACCCTCACATTTCTATGGTCTTTCAACAATCATGCTCTTTGGTCAAATATATGCAAAAATTGCAGGATGAAGATTTGCTTTTTCTTCAAAATGCATGTACACTTGAAATAAGATCCGCGGATAAAATCAAAGCTCTTTTCTTGCCTGGATATTGTGAAAGGATAGTAGGCATCCCCCATCTACTTGATAATTAGTTACAAAAATGTGGTCTGCTCTGCAAGCCTGTATGTACATTCAGAAATTGATATAAAAGATGAAGAATGTGCTACATAAAGTCCTGGAATAATTGCTCTAGCAATTCCATCGGCGGAAAAGTTAAAAATAGCTCCTCAAGCTGATAGAAAAAATGATTTGTAAGGCAGAGACAGAGACGGGGTAACCTTAATCGGTGGTCACTGGTAGTAGTGAGTATGTACATATAGTGAGAAGTGTCTTTGAAGTGCAGTGGATGCCAGCCAATCAATCCGACGAGAAAGGGTGGTACAGAGTCAGATTTAGCTGTGGTAGAAATAGTATCTAGTATACATGGTCGCTGAAGTACCGTGGATCCCAGCCAATTCGTGTTTGAAAGTGTCCGTTGTTCTTTTACTTCTTGAAATTTTAGACGCGTCAGTGGTTATGGCCAACGGTTGATACAGCAGCGTTGGAAATCAAATTACGAGAGTGAATGTGCCCCCAAGTTCAGATCACCAGTGAGCGTTCTCCATCAACTGACAACTTTCACGCCGACACTCTGGAAATGAAACAATGATGGTTTTACAATAGCAGAACGTTTGGTGTTTCAATTTGTCAGTGAGCTCATGATCATTGAAAAGAAGAGGCATAGGGCCTCATAGGGCCTATACACACCTGGTACTACGGCCTCAATGTCATTGCATCTATATCCTGGCAGCTCCGTTGGCACATCTTTCTCAGCTTCATGCCCGATGACATCTATAAAAGTCAAGCGACATCGGGGTCTTAGATATCTAAGTCGATTGGCGAGACTACTCTGTCTTGTGAACACCGTTGTGGGAACAGAAAATACTTACTGAAATGGGGATGGGATTTCCCTACTAAAGACCAATAACGCGAAGCCTGCACACGGACTCCGTCTTTCTCTTGCTTGGAATCCCCAAACTTGTCCTTATACTTGTGACAATCTTCGAAGAAAATATGATCCATCACGTCTGTATCAAACGCAGAAGACAGATAGTTAGGAGAGTCACTTGTTAAAGAAGATGATAAAACTCAACTATATTTGGAATCATCCCTTGCCGGTGGATCACCTACCCAGCATTCTTGTAATTTGCAGGAATAGTGTCTATCCCCAGCTTGACAAGCTTGTATAGTTAAGGGAGAAAGCCATCGGGACTTTGAGCCGCGAAAGGGTGATTGGATGGATAGTGCCGGAGGATCTAAATATCATGGGATGAGTACATACCTATCTGTCCCGGTTCTAATGTGACAGCATTCCAACTGACACCGCACGTAATTGAGGCACTGACAGAGCGCCAGGCTGTGATTATTAGTACAAAGCTTGGAATGGTGATGTAGGTACGCATTTCTTGAAGGAATTTGATTGTGGAACTGGTAGAGCTGGTAGCCTTTAGGTGAGGTCTAAACTCGATGTAAATGGAAAATAAAAGACAATGGTTGGAAATTGGAATGAAAAGTTGCTACCACTTGCTTGCGAGGGGGATCCGAAGTGCTTGAGCCAGTTAACGATGAACGTTTTATGTTTCCGAAATAATCTCGAGATGTGGAGTGCTACGCAACTTGTGTTTTGCTGCCTGGGATCCGCTCCTGGAAACTCATAAACATATTCCTGACTACACGGATTGTCAATCATACGGTAACACAAAACTGATGAAACGTCGCGTCTTCTTATCAATTGCTTGACTACATCCTGCGTGAGTAGTCCGTTGAATCCAGCAACACCCCCGAAAATGCCGGACACGGTGTATTGCAATGGTCGCCGTTTTTGCACGAGGGCAAGTCTTCCCATTGGTTTGATTGTCCGGTTCCTTTGAGCCGTGTTCAAATGGATGAACCTTTACATCTCAATCGGGCAAGATATACGTGTTGCTCCCTTGTCCTAACTTAACCAAGTCCCCTTCGAGGCCTACCAAGAAACAAAGAAAGCGCGTAGGCCTGCATAGGCCCGCGCTTTTTTCCTACATAGTTAGTTGCCCATGTGCCGCCTTTGAAATTCATGTCGAAATTTCAACTTTTTGCATTACACCAAAACAAAAGGCTATGCAGCATTGCATCCATAAAAATGGAAGAGGGATTGCAAACTGAACCAAGTCTAAATTGTGTTTGACCTATCCTTATTCGAGCTGGTCAGTATGGCTCAAAAAAGAGTGGGACTTGGTCAAGTTTGCTGTGATTGGCATAAAAATGGAAGTTGTTTGGCTTAAACATGTCAATTTTTCTGGAATGATCTGGGAAGACTTCTAAAGGAAACATTTGTGGTAGTATGACTATGTACAAGTGAGAATTATTCAAGTACAGATTCAAGTACAGCTTCAACTTCAATATGAATATAAAAAATACCCACCCGTTACTGATTTGGGCCTTAGAGACTCATAAACATGTCAGTGGGCACACACCAGTTAAGAATCAAATGACAAGGGTGACCAGTCACATTTTACAAGATCACCAGTCAGCCTTTCGCACTAGTCTATGACATCAATATGTTTACAACTTGTAGATGGACACTCTGCAAATGGTGAAAGGAGAGTTTTACAGTCAAAGAAATGTTAGTGCAATCATCTGCCTGCATAAGATTGTCAATGTAGGTCTGGGGCTTATACACACATGTTAATGCCACATCCATATTATAGCATTTGATTCCTGGCAGCGGGGTGGGCGGCTGTCGGGCGGCCTACCCATCTATAAATCTAATCACATCTATAAAAATCAAACAGATCAACATATTTGGTATTTACAGTTGATTGGTGCAAAAGCTGTCTATTGAAGATTTCTGACTATGCTGAAGTGCAAAGACACAATCTACTTACCTGCATAGCCTTTGTTCCAATACATCCAATAAGCCGTGGCCTGAACATTGACTTCAGGTGTTGCCTGGTTGGAATTCCCAAAGTTGCCTGCATATTGGTGACAATGTTGAACAAAATATTCAACACTGTAAAGCACAAAAAGGGATGTGTTAAAGTGGTGCACCCATTAAAAACCTAACACTGATCTTGGCAAAACATAAGATGAAAAACACTCAACAACAATTGGGATCTCCCTTTGCTGAATTGGGTACCTGTGAAACATTCCCCTGGTCTACAGGAGAATAAACCATTTTGGGCCTGACAAGATTGTAAAGTTGATGAAAAGTAGACAATACTTTAACCCGTGAAGCCACAACTAGTAGTAAAGTGGAGGCAAAGCCCAATATTATGTAGTGCTTACATATATTGCCTGAAAGGGCGCCTAACGGCACAGAATTCCAAGCCAGATCACACATAATATCTGAATCTGAGGTGCCAACAAAGTGCAAGGTTGTGAATGATAAGATCAGACTTGCAATGAAGATGAATATATGCATCTCTTTGATAAGTTCACATATATCACAAATTGCTCTTCCTTGTGTACAGTTTGAATTTTTTTGGGCAAAAGAGAAGAGACAATTGTATGGAAAAAGAAAGACAATAATTGAAGATTGGAAAGAAAATTTATTATTCACAAATCACTGAGGGAGGGAATACAGATTGGGACAGTTGTGCAAGTTTGAGTGAATGTTTTCGGTTTCTGAGATAGCCCACAGATATGGAGAGTCACTTTGAAATATGGTCCACAAGACACTCTTGACGATGAACATGTGTCTCCCTACCGCTGTCACTACTGCTTGCATATTCCTGACTACGCACAAATCCTCAAATCTACATGAGAGGGTGTACATATCTATTCTGACATGTGAATGATACAGAGACCTTGTGTTTAATTGTGTATTGACATGCTTTGAAGGATTCAAAAACATATCCTGTGTAATATGGTGCACATAGAAAGGGTGTGTGTGTTCATGTGCAATTCCAATGATTGGGGATACTGCCAAAAATCTTTTTCAAAGAAAGAGCAGAGTTGACTATAAATGTGGTAGTGCCCAGGTACAAGTGAAAATATTACAAATATGACTTGTAGTAGCACAAAAAATTATCTGCACTGCTATGAACATACAAGCAAAGAAGAGGGTTGGACCACAATGAAACCCAGCCAAGAAATCAATCATAACCAGAAAACAAAATATATCCATATAGCCATTCTTGGTGTTCAGAGACCTCAGTGGGTGTAGCACTGCCAGATAACGGGTCAGGAACGTGACTGTGTGCACAAGTTCACGGGGTCGCCAATTGGTGGTTTCCATCAACTGAAACATGCTAGACTTGCACTCTGGAAGTAAGAAAAGGCAACACAGTCAAAGAGAAGTCAATGCATCAATTGTTCAATTTTTCAATTTCTCTACCCAGCATATATTCATGATTGTTTAGATGTAGTGATTGCACCTGTACCCACCTGATAGTTTGGCAAGCATGTTACAAACTCTGTATCATGGCAGCTGGTCTGAGATGTCCAGCCCAACTTCATGACCAATCACATCTGGTGTCAGGAAGGGCATACACCGCCTCAGCGGCATATCTCCTTACTCACAAGCAAATTCACTGCATATAAAAAACTACATGTAACCAACCATGTACATGTACCAATAATAAAAAGAAACATGTGATACTTTTGATTGTATACAAATATATACATGTAATCATCAATTACATGTAGGGCTGTGACCCAGCCCTGAAATTTCAGGACCATTCACATGGCCTAATCTGGCTGCAGATAGACCCCAAGGAGTTCATAAACTGCTCAGAGCCAATCAACCTTGAGCACTTTAAAGGCGCAAAAATGTGGTCAAAATGCAATGATTTCAACATATAGGGCCATTAAATGCATACCAAAATTTATTTCAAGGCTACATCAGCCTACTTGGACATCAGAAAGAGCTATGATGGGCCTAGGTTGAAAGAAAAAGCCCCTTTGTTGTTTATGAAGCAAGAAAACATTGGACACCCAGACAGACAGGGAAACTGGTTTTTCTGCAGGGCGTCTGTGACCAAGTTTAGGCTTCAGTGTGACAGGGAACAGACTGTCAGCTTCAAAAACCTTGTTGGGCAGAATTGGCCAGTCAGGTCTGGGTCTGTGTCACACCCCTAATTACAGGTATAGGGTGCAAACTGTTTATTTCTATGTTCTTTTCATATTTACTTATTATTTCTCTATTTCTCTCTTACCACATGTTATTCAAAAATGATATACTCATTGTCCAACAAACAAATACTCATTGATCAACTTGAAATACAATCCTGTGTAATTTGTTTTATGAAGATCTTTTTAATGACCATGTGTAGCCTTGGTTCAAGAAACCAAGTTGGTTTCTCAACCCAAATTAATAGCTGTTTGTATCAAACTGATCTTCTTGACCTGTGGTGGATGCCAAGAAGGGATGTCTAGGGCTCTTGTGCTCACAGGAAGGGTTATAATAGGATAAATTACAAAGGAGAACCATGTATTATATGGCATTATAACTACACATGCTAAATAAATTAATTACACACACAAGATTTTAGTATAAGGATCACATGTGTTCTTCTACAGATCAATTATCAGTTGTTCACAGGAGATGGTCACATAATCCTCCATGTTGTAGTTGTTGAATGTTTTCTGTGTGCTATTCTCTTGTTCTGATGGGTATATAAACCTTTGCTTTTGTCTTGTTTCTTTTGTTCCTTATCTTCTACAATAACAATCAAGTTTACATAAGCTTTATAAACCAACAAGTCCATCCATATCAACTTACAAAAGCCCTTATATAAGCCTTTTTACAATGAGTAGCCATGGATTTGCAGTCTTTCTGCTAGGTCTCTCTTCAATTGCTATTGTCAAGTGCTGTCCTACATATGTAAAACATAGTAATTGAACTGTAACAGTTATACAATAGGGGGTTTCAAGTTGGATGTTTTTACATATTTTTACACTACAACGCCTTGCCCGTTGTTGTTAAATTTGCGTAATTTTTTTAAAGCGGGACACCTTTTTAGGTGTCCTGAATTAAACATACATCCATTTTACAGAAAATATTTTTATGAACAACTTGTCCAAATTTGTAAAAAATACGCAAAAAAAAAATCCAACTTGAAACCCCCTAATATCACTTGTTACATGTTGGTTTTAGGGCTGTGACCCAACCCTGTGTGTTCAGGGCCGGCCCCGGGGCCAAATCAAGCCCTGATTGAGCCCAATGGCCTCTGAAAACTGCTCAGGGCTGACCAGGGCGGGTAGAAGACAGCGTGAAGGCATTTCTTGGGCGAAAAAAGGGTTGGCACCCCGGCCGGGTCGGGGTCCCAAATTACCCAAAGCTCCCACAGGGCCGTATTCAACTGTTATTGAGTCACATATGAATGCCTCGGGGCGCGTACTGTCAGCTCTGTGAAAGTTGTTGGGCAAAGTCGGCCGGCCGGGGCCGGGGCCGGGTCACAGCCCTAGTTGGTTTCCTTGCTCAATAAGCTTCCTTATTGACATCTAGGAAACTGAAGCAAGATTACAATCTTCAATATCTGAAGTGGAACAGTGAAACAGAAGACTGATCTGCAAAAAAATACCTGCTGACATGACCTTTGCCCCAATATATCCAAATAAGCCACAGCCTGAACAGTGACAGTCATTGATGTGGTCTGTCACAACTGGATTGAATTGCAGAAATTGAAACATGTCAAGGCAGACCAGCTGTTAGAGGCATAGCCTTGATGTTAACCAACAAAAAAAGCAGAACTCGGCCATATTTGTGACTGGAGTCTCCTCTGGTTTTTGGGTTGTCTACCCAAAAATTATCCACTTGGCAGGAGTATTATATCATTGTCCGACTGACAAGCTTATAGACAAAAGCAGTCTATCAGAATTCTTGAAGACACAAATAAAGGATCACCAAAAATCCAATATCATAATATAGTTACATTCCTATCTTTCCTTGGTCCAATGGTGCAACATTCCAAGCCATGCTACACTGGAGGCTTGTGGAACTGGCAAAGTTACAGGCTGTGAGAAACAGTGTCAATTTGGTCATTGTGGTGAAGGTCTGCATATCTTCAAAGATTTTGCATGTAGAACAGGTAGCCTTTGTGTAAGATATAGTCTTTGTCCTGGAAAGCAGAGCCCAGTTGAAAATTCAAGCAAGAAGTAGCCATAGCTTGCTGATTGGAGGCACTATGAGACCTTTCAATTGTATAGATGAATAGGTTTGTCCATGTATTTCTGAAATGATTTCCACATGTGGAGTTATGTGAAGTTGACATATCTTCTGCTGGGCTGCCTGGTCACCCCAGGAAACTTCACAAGCAGTTCTGTGTGGTTCAATCCCTACCGCTTGCATTTTCTTGAACCCATCTCTCAACTTGTAAACATTGAATTGATCCAAGTCTGTTGCAATTGATATGCTTTAAACACATATCCTGTGTAGTCTGGGTGAGCTAGCATGCACGTCTGGGTTGTTGCCTCTTGCAAGGCTTTTGATAACAATTCCATGAATGCCGGAAGAAAATTGTGAAGGTGACAGTTGCGGAGCTGTTGCAGATAAAAATTAATCGAGAGGAACACTTCACTTCAGTCAATTTTGGCCAAAGTTGGGACCACATTGTGACTGAAAAGTGCTGGATGACCATGACTTGCCTCAACAATTTGGGGCTTCACAGCTGAAGATCCTGTAGTAGCTTACAAGCCTTGCCACGGGTTCCAAGAAATGGACGTGTGAAACAGAGAGATACAGGTCCTAGAATATTTCAAAGGTTCTGCTCAGGGAACGTCAGGGTCTTTGTATCATGTTCTGCTATTTGTTCTAAGCTCCTACTGGCAGGCTTACATAAAGGTCTCCTTGTTCTTTGCCACCCAAGTTCAGTTCTGTTGGCCTGATCATGCACCCGTGGGAAAACACCTTGAGCCTCCTACTTCAAATGGCAAGGAGAGGCATTCAATTTGATGAACGAAGGATGCCGCATGTTGGCAATGTAAAAATCACAAGAATGCTTATAACAAACATTGGAGATCATAGGGACAACCGGAACGAAGAAGTATTCAAAACGACACCAAAAAAATACAAGGCATCAAGATTATTGTCAGATTCATACAAAAGAAAACAGGATGCAATCCCAATGATTGATGTGATGCGGCGTACGTATGAAGTATAGAAGAAAGACAAAAGGTTCGTCACAGCATATGTGAAGAACATAGAGTGAGAAACAAAACAATATGTCCGTAACTGGTCAGGTGAATTGACAGAATGAGACGAAGCAAAGTCAACTGAATGTCATCACATGATAATGCAATTCTTCTTTCTTTGACCACTTCCGTGGCTGGCTCGACGACCATGAGTACTTGCCGCTGTTGTCACGCATTGTTGATTGCTGGGAAATGAAGTGCCTGATGTTTCAGATAGAACTTGGGGACAAGAAGTAGATTGGGCGTGAACTTGTTGGATGCGAGCTTGTGACGGCAGTGAGGGCTGCAAAGAATTAAAGGTTGGTCCCGGTTGGACACCTATTCTGGATTCTTGGTTCCGATACTCTTCCTCTTGCAACTGTTGTGCGCAAAGAAAACTGTGCATAACGAGCAAAAGATATGAGAAAACTCTGACAGCACTTGTGGGCTATAGTGAAAGACGCACTCGTTGTTGAGATGATTGGGCTCTGTCGTCTCGCGCGGTGGGACAGAATTTCTACCCGGTGGACCGCTGGAAGTACGTTGACCTGTTTGACGTGAAGCTGGGGCTTTGAGGCGACTTCGAGTCAGATTCCAATCATAAAACTCACTCATACCACCCTCAACATCCTCTAAACTTTCCCAAACAATATGGCGCTCATTCAGAAACGCCATATCCGTTACCAGACAGAAGAGTTTGGGTACTCCGCTTTCATCTTCATTGAATGTGTGCAGGGATCGATCCTCTAGTTCAGCCTGCGCGAGACTTTGAGAGATCGCATGAACCTCCAGCATTGTCTCGTGGGAGTAATTGGGGTCCATTTGGTCAGGTGGAGGTGGTAGAGGGGGGTGAAGAGGAGCAGGTGGCGCAGGTGAGATGACCGGACGCCGATACAAGACTGAAAGATGTGAATTTCGAAAGAAGGCAGTGAGTGAATCAGGAGCCAAACCGGATATGAGTTGAAAGAGTCCAAAGAAAGATAGCTGAGTACTGCTGGTATCCAAAAACCGACGTATTAAACAAGCTGAAAATCATAGAAAACCACATCAAGATCAATCAACATGGGTCAAAGGTTCTTATGAAATCGTCAAAAGAGGGTCACATACCATCATGAATAGCATTTTTATTTTCTGCTGTCGTTTCTCCATTGACTTTGTCATCTTGAGGGTTTTCAAGCAGCTCTTCTCCAACTACAACTGCTTCAACCGCTCTATCGTAGTCACCACACTTCATTAGTGCATCCCACGTATCCTGGTCTTGTGGATCCGCAACCCATCCATGGACCAAGGGGACACCTGCTGAGCTGAATAAAGCAAGTTCCCCTGATCCAGGTCCAAAGCCATCAATTGAACCGAATCTTGGATTAAGATTGAGACCAGTGCGAGAAGATGGAATGACTGAAAGAGCGACGCTGAGATTTGTGGGATCAGCGGAGTGACGGACCAAGTAATCGGCTAAGACTGAGGAAAGGGTCTGGAAGGAAATCGATGTACGATCTGGAGGCCCGGGAAGAACGATTGAACCCTGAAGTAGAAGAATGTTGCAGACAGCCAGAAGCGAACATGGCCCATTGGTATTTTGCATGATCTAAAGTACAAAAAGGGATCAGCCATCATGATTTGAATGTGGGAAGGTGTGTCATTGCAAGACTCTGTCAAAAATGAGACTTACAATCGATATCGATTTGGGATTTGATCCAGAAGGAGGAAAAGGCGGCCAAAGGATTTTTTTAATCAACCAGCGCTCATCGGTCTGATTAGGCGAACTAGTGCTAGGGGCACAAGCTTGATTGTTCCGAGATGGTGTAGATGGTGTTGGAAGTGGTAATCGTTCATTCTCGCTGAATGGCTCAGATTCCTCCACAGCAGAGGGCAAGGGTTGAGGTTCAGTGATTCGTTCAACTGCATCCGAACTTGATTTGTTGGTAATGCTGACTGCGGATATTTGGTTAGGTGATTCGTCTTGTGTTGCTGGAGTGATGACTGAATGATCCTCAGCTTGAAGGTTTGTTGGTTCTGTTGATGTGATGATGCTCATCTTGATTGTCGATGAGGGTAAACAAGACTTGGCACGGATCACGATGAGCCTGAAAGTTGTCATACATACATATGCGGATCAGTGCGGATTACGCAAGGCGCCTTTCGACGGTGCATTGCGAGAACTACGGGCGCAGGAGATGCCCGACACCTGCCCAGGATGTCCGCCCCCATGGCGAAGAGGCGATGCAAAATGCCATGCCGGACGGCTCACGAGTCCCACGCGCTCCGGGCAAGAGAGCAAATCATTTCGTCTCTGGATCCAATCCGACAGAGAAAGTCTTTGCAAAAACGGACGGGAAAATGATCAACTTTATGTACGTCTTGGTCAAGCTCGGCAACCGCAGTCTTTCTTGACCGCATATCACTTCGGTGAGTGTGATTGATTTTTACGTGATCAAATAATTGTCAAAGATGAGGAGACGAGACGATAACAGACTCTCAGACCAACTTGAGCTGCACGGTCACCAGTCTTTGTTCCACATGTATCTAGGATATGATATCATTTATTCGTCACTCATGTTTGCTCGGCTCTGAATCTAACTCCGTCATGTTCACGAGATACCATGTACAACACTGCAATCCGATTGCTCCCATCTCGCCCCTTCCGGTCTGGTGCTCTATCTCGTATCTCAGGTCCCCAAGAGGCTTGACGAGTAGACCTGCTTCACGATTGCATAAGGGCAGCTAGCATCAACAAAGGATTATCGGTTGACCACATCCACTTTACAAAGTATATCTTCCGACATCTGCCATTTTCCACAATTTATCTCGAAGCCTTTGTGTTGACCAAATCATTGAGATGGTCTTGATTCAAGTTGGGCTGTTTACCTGATTGAAAACTCCGTAAGCAAATAAGTAGGTCGGTGAAAAGATGACATGTGATGAGGCTTAAATTCGATCGATTTCTTTAAACAAAATCATCTGACAAATGCAAGGTGCTTAGCAAGTGAATTCATAGTTTTTCACGCAGTGCGCCCTTCGTGCCCTGTTTCACGTGTGGAGAACTTTCTGGGGTCAGACTCACGGACTCATTGCCTTTTCTCAAGCCTTGGGTCCTTTCAAGGAATCAAAGGAACGCTAGTCCAGATGAGCTTGGCGTGCAGCAGAACCGTTCGATCCATCAGCTGCTTCACGCGGAAGGTATGTACCCTTTCAGCTGGATGTAGGCCGTGCTTTTGTTCTATAATCGATCCGTCTTTTTCGAGACCTTCAAGGGGGAGGACTCAACTCGATATACATAGTCCCTCCCGATCTGCTGTATATTCGACATCGACCCACAACAAGTAGGAAGCTGTTTCGCTGGTATGTATGGTCCACTTTTTCTATTTGCTTGTTTATTTGAGTCTGCACGGAAGCTGGTGATCAGGTCCAGCCCGTACCCCACACAAGGCATACGGGAATTCGGAACCAGTTAAAGGTGATCTCTAAAGTTAGAAAATCGTGCTGGGAGCGGTGCATACTGTGTGTTTTGCTATGTACAGGGATTGCTCAGCTGAGCCGAAGCTTCATCGGTTCTATTTTTTTTCGGAGCGTCTTACCCCTGATTTTTACATACCAGCTGGGTGTTTGAAAAACAGGGCTCCTGAACTTGATGATGACAAAACACTCCGCACCGTCACCGTGACGGGATCGTTTTCTGATGATCCCCCACGTATTTTAATTTTCAACGGATTCTGCGCATTTTTGACTTAGCCTGACCTTTCTCCATTTGGTCAATCAACCAGTTTTGGATTCTATAAAATCCCTGTCTCTCTCATTGCACCTCTTATCTACCCCGCACCATCTCATCAACCTCATTACAAAGTTTCACACCATAGCATACGCTTGATTATCAAATCCACGAAACTCCCAAAATGTTAGTATCTACCTCTTCCTACCCTGAGTGTGAATGCAGCCCCTCACACATCTCGCAATCATATAGCCAATTCCCTATCACATTTCACAACATGAGCAACATACTCGAACACACATCATCCGCTGCCCATCAAGCCACCCCAGTCAGTGCGGCTCATGCTCCCTCTCTTCCCTCGGATACCTCACCAAAGTCCACCAACTCCACGGAAGAAGAACCACTAGTTCTGACGCCCGAAGAAGTTGAGGCTTTGCGTCTATACTCAGCATCGGTGAAAAACTTCAGTTAAGCTCGTTCTCCTTTCACGTCTCCTCTTGCCCAACTCATATCATCTCTAAACGGTCATTGACATTTGAATTCCATTTGAATAGCCTATCGCTTGTTCGAGAACTTCAAGGACGAACTCGAACGTCGTGAAAAAGGTCGTTCAGCCTCCCCTCCTCCACCGCGAAAGTATCCAAGACGGACTTCGCCTCCGATGCAATTCCCCGAAGGTACTGGCCTTTGAATATCAATAAAACCACCATATCGGACAATTTTTATCTTATTTTGTTTGCTTGGGTGACCGTGTGCTTGTATGGTGTCATTGCTTATCATTTTTGGGCGACTTGGGCTTTTGATAATCTCATTTTTATTGTCTAGTTTTTGAAATGACCTCTCGTGAAAGATTGTTTCTTTGTTATTGCTTCTAAGTCATGTTTGGCAGATGTAGTCCTCACTTGTTTTTACCCAAGCTATTGCAATGCGCACAAAACGGACTTTCTTACTTCCGTAAGTCCATTCACAGAAAAATGTCACACATACATGAGCATACTGCATTCCACACGATCATTCCGCCTAAACCCTAAGTTTCACTCTTTCATCTGCACCACGGGAGGGTCTGGACGGTCTTTAGGCCGCTCATCTCTCTGCAGTGATGGGCGGTCTTCAGGTAGGCCATACCACAGGCCACTTCTAGCGGCCAGCTGGATTAACCTGAAATCGGCCTGTCCTTCTATTTCTTTTGAATTTGGAAAAACTCTTAAATCTGATAATTTGGCACTCTGACTTTTCAAAAAAAGATTCTGGTGAACTGTGTGTTTTGAACATGAAGTTACGAAGAAGGTAAATTACACCGAAAATTACTCAAATATTTTGCTTTGCAATATTTCCGTAGTTCAGGCAAAGTAAAACACATTGGTGATGTTGACAACCGATGGGGTAGGCATGTATGCGCATTTATTATTGCTGGCGTGTGGGGTAAAATGTAAAGCTAATGTAGATGTAGGATAGAAAGTCAGATTGAAAAGGCCATGAAGTGTGATCCGATACCTGTCTTCGTATGTAAACCGTTAAGTTTACATACTTTCCTCGCATACACCTCACCCTGACTCAATGATGACCATGACATCATCGGTCATCGGTCAAGAGCAGAAGCTTTAAATAAATATCTTTGAGCTTGTTACTTCTCAGTATTGAAGCTTCAACTCCAATTAGTCGACCAGCTCTCCATCAACAAAGAGATCATGAATCAGAAACATTCACATCAGTCAAAACGAAGACAATCTTCAAGTTCTATCAAGCTTGTCTCCAAACTTCCCAAACTGAGTTCACTTCCTCGTCGAGCTTATTCACTTGCTCAGGCGAGAGATATGCTTGGACATCTGAACCATACTCGTTCTACAAGCTTGGCTAAATGGCGGTGAGCGAATCTTGTATAAAGGCTTGCCTACGTTTGGAGGCCTTACGACTGATAGCTTTGCATTGACTGGTAAAAAGTCCGTCTTTTCCATCTTGTCACATGAGGCCTAGCTCGTCGATCTCAATGACAGGCAATCAAAATCTGGGGATCATCCCTCCAGATCTTTCAGCTCAAGTCCCACCCTCTCCGTGGACCACCCACATTGAAAGATTAGGGAGAGAAAGTCACGAAGCTCTTCGTGACACCCATACTCCCTGTGAAGTGAGTGATACGCGATATATAATCTAGCTAGGAGATCTTCCTGTTTTGTGCCAGGAGCCGCATGCTCACATATATGATGGTATCTTACTTGTCTCGAAAGGTTGCCCGAACAAGTTCCACCTCCGAGGAAGATCTGATCATGTCCGAGATCATGCCACCGGCAAAACGATTGATAGTACGTGACCTTCATTTAGCTTTGATAGTCTGCCACTGAAGAGGAGGTAGCGAGAAAGTATCTGAGTCTGACAAGCTTTTGTGTTTCTTTCTATATCGACCCTCTGCAGTCTTTGCCGACTACACGATCTCTGAGCACTACGCTGGTAGGAGGCTGCAATCGGCCCCTGTCATCTCGCACATCATCTGCTTCGCAGTGCAAAATTACGACCATCACCAGTCGCCGTACACCGTCGTGGAAAGTGCGCAGATGGAGGACTGAACCTCGCGGCGGTAGATCAACTGGAATGCACGAGTCGCTTTGCGTCAGAAGGTTGAGTGTTTTTCATCAAGAGAGCCATGACAAGGGGTTCGAGGTGAAGATTATGGAAGAGTGCAAGGAACCTCATGATATTCAACAACGTGAATCTCTGGAGGTATCCTCTTCAGGAATTGGAGATGATGGAGAGCGGTTGAGTGAACACGAAGCCGAAAGCCGTGCCAGTTCGGAACCCTCCGAATCAAGTCTCTCAAGTCTCTCAAGCTCAGAAACTGGCGAGTCTCAATCTGAGCGCAGCCTGCCAGTCATCGAACTCAAAGAGGCGGAAGCTAAAGATCCACAGGCGGGAAGCCGCATCGCTAAGCGCAATATAGGCCCAAGGAAGTCTTGTGTCGACGAACCTCCGGCGTCTCGACTCCGTCGTTCTCTTTCCACCGACTCGATACCTTGCTCAACTTCAAGGAAGCGGGATCTCTCAGAAGACGAGTCAGAAGCAGATACGAAAGGTCCAGATCGACAGACCCAGAGCTTGGTTAACCTTCAGGGACAAGAATCTAGCTTCCTCAGCAAAACTAGGTCATTCACACCAAAACCTATGTCGACAAGTCGACATTTACCCAAGTCATTTCCTGCTGCTTTCAAATCACCGATGATCAATTCGACCAAACCAAAAGACAAAACGGTTAAAAGAACTACTGCAGGAGGCAGCTCCGTCGTCGCTAGTCATGATGTCGATCAGTCCAGTCAAGATCCTTCAAAACTGAAAGGAATCCTCTTGACCAAAAAGGTCGTCGAGTTGGAACAAACTTTGACTCTCATGAAGGATGCGGAAAGAATACTGGAGACTGGTGATATTCAGTCTTTGATAGATGCACAAAACAAGTGGATGATGGTTGGAAGGCAGGTCATCTCACTGGATATCCCTTCAAAATAATTCTGGGAAAGCGTAGAACGCACACACAACTTTGTTCATTGAATGAATCTTCTTGATTATGACAATCACTGCTAAAGCTTGCCTCTCCGCTGGTGTCCATTTCGCGCTCACAGGAGCGCCGCCGAATATCTTTTCAAAGTTAGCGGAGCAGCTCAACCAAGTAAGCAGACTGATAGAAGTGGGGGGTACGAAGTTCCAACTACTACGCATTGGGGCGATTCGTGGGGATTTATGGCACCCGTTTCTGACACTGCCGCACAAATCGATGAGCAGAGAAAACTAGAGATGTTTCAGCGTGGCTATGTCTCAGATCATGCTGACGATGATTTGCCGGATGAGGATAGCTTATTCTCAGAAAACTCTGTCAGGAAATATGATTGTTCTGGAGCAGTGATTGAAGATAAAAATAAAAGTGTCAAGAATACTTCGAAGTCGATAATCGGAGAGTCGTGCGGTGCCTCAACAAGTGACTGCGCGCCTCGTGCTTCTACCTTAGGCAACATGATGCAAGACATGGGAATTGAGTTAGTCATATTAGTTTGTGGTGGACAGTACAAAGCAGATGACTGATATCGGACTTCACATTCCACAGACCTTCGGCACTTGGATGGGATAGCGAGGAAGAGGATTGGAAAGACTGATATCAGATTCCTGAGAAAACGCGATCAACACAAACCGTAAGTTGAATCCAAGATGAAACTTGATCTGATGTTTCTTGACTTGGTAGAGAATTCTACTCGACATTCATCCGCTGATATTTGTGATATGAACATTAGCACGTTTCTATAAATCTCAAGGATATGATATGATCTTGACCGCAGTGAATAGGATAGGATGATTATCAAAGTAGGCCTTGCATAAAATCAATATTCACATTTTCGAGGCAAGAGGAACGCGACTTTGAAGGGTGCCTGTTTTTCATACCGTTATTTTATCTGTACTTTAGTCAACAAATTATAAGCTCAGTAAGCTTAGTGTATCTTATCATGGATGTAAATACATACCAACTCAGGACAAAATTACGGTCAATTCTTTGAGAAATCAGTTCTACCCATGCAAAACGCTCATGATCCATGATACTGTGGTTATCATAAATGACTCGGCAGAGAAGTAGGGATAAATGGAATCGCTGGTGGGGCCCTTCTCTAGTATTAAGATGGAATTGATATACTGCGATGGTATGAATTTAGATATGAAACTCATCTCTTTTCGAACAATCAAATCTACGTGACTTCAAACCAGTCCTGACAGGCTCAAGTTTAGTCATCGTTTGGTTCCAGATCGTTGAATTATAGGTCGTTCAGCTGTCAAAAATCAGTGCTCATCACTCAAACACAGTGTATCCTTCATGACTGTCCATGAACATCACGGATAACATGTGTATCGGTTCTTTTCTAGGCCTTTCTTGGTTCCAAGAGGGAATGATGAATTACATGGCTTGTTCCTCAATGACTAGGTCCTGTATTATGGTTTTACGGGGGTTCATTCTGAGTAGACTTAAAGTTTGAAGCAGTCTTTTTCATTATTCCTTTTTCATCCATCACTTTTCCACTTCATTCATTTCTCGTATTTCTGTCTTTTCAAATCCCAACTAATGCCACCTAAGAAGGGCCCCAATTCTCAATGGGCCGACTGGATCGTCGAAGAAGCCAACTTAGCTTCTGAGAAAAACTCACGAGCAGCTGATGTTTACAATAAAGCCGCACGCGCTTTACGTGCATGTCCACACCTTCTCAATCATCCGAAAGAGGCCAAGGACCTAAATGGAATCGGAGACAAAATAGTTGCCATCATCACCCGGCGGCTGGAAAACATATGTCGAGACGAAGATAGACCTTTTCCTCGGCAAGGTCTCTGAATTCCGACTTCTTCAAACCAATCTGATACCTGCTCACTAAACAAATCGAACACTTTTGTAACAGTACCCCTTCAGGAGCCTCAGGCAGGTCCTAGCGGGACAAAGCAGTCGCAGAGAAGAAAGAAACCAGCCGGACTGACTGCCGCAGAACTCGCTTTGGACGACCCATCCGACGGAGAACTACCTGTCAAAGCCAAGAAAGCTCGAGTCACCAAGCCCTACACTCCTAAACCTCGAGATGGTGCTTGGGGAATCCTGGCCGCACTTTACAGTTTTTGCGAACCTTTGGATCAAAAAAAGTTTAGTAGTCGCGAGACGATCATCGAGACTGGCCAGAAGTACTCTAACTTGAGCTATGGATCTGACTCTGGGGATGGCAAGAAAGCAGCTTGGAGTTCCGCCATGTCAGTCCAGCTGTTAACTAGCTTAGAAGAATCCCAATCACTAACATTCTTTTTTGTTTTTCTTACTAGCGCCATCTTGAAAAAGCATCAGCTGGTGGTTGTACACGCCACCCTTCGACCCATGAGATATGCCCTCACGCGTGCGGGGTTCGAGTTGGCTACTGCAATCGCTGCGACCGAAGGAATTCCACTCATCGAGCTTGTTGCCGAAATCTGTGCTGCTGAACCTGAAATTCTTCCAGCAAATAGGAGTCCTTCACCACCTACCTTGCTCAAGCGAAAGTCTAGCGTAGATGCTAGCAGTCTGCGCTGGGTTGAAGATGTCCGAAATAAATCGCAACGTATAGCCCTTGATGAAGACCTGCGGGAAGCCTCATCAATTTTAGGTGTGAATCATGCAACAAGCAGCAATCTAACGCTTCAGGATGCTGCCCAGAAGCCCACAACTACAAAGTCTCATAGCGCACCTCAAGTTCCACAAAAGCGAAGTCACGCGGATTCAGTAGATTTGAAGGTCAAACGGGCGGCGACAGGTGCACGGGCTCACGTCTATCGCGAGCCAGAGCCAGGTCCGTCAGTCGATTCTCTTGGCGCTTTGCGCTTCCAGTTCTCTTATCTCGACAAAAGTAAGAGCTGAAACCGACCATGACATTTAATCTACTGCCATGTCTTGATATTTTAAACTGACCAGCGATTCATTTTTGCTGTAGATGACGTTCGGGTCAAGACTTCGAAAGAGGCTGAAGTGCAGCATACTGATGAGGAGGAGCTTTTCAAAGTCGAGTTTTGTACGCGCCAAAGACTTCATCCGTTCAAGATAAAGGCCATCGTACAAGAGGCTCGACTCGAACGAGTTCTTGGACCTGAGGGTGCGACAATGATGGGCTGGTTACGGAAAGAAAAGACGATACCGATATGCCCAGGATTTGTGGAAGCTTTAGCGGGCGTGAGCCAACCCAAGCCTGTCATCGGTCGTGCGTTGGGCGCGGATAGATTGACGAAGGACAGATCTACAGGTTCGTCTCGATCCAAGACGATGGAATCATCCTCGAGCCGAGGCGAATTCGGAATTCCAACGGTTCCGGCTCCCCGCTCGGGAACTCATCCTATCAACTCGTTGCCACAGAATGTGCCATCGACCAGCTCGGCACCTCTCATTCGGGCTAGTTCATCTGCTGGCGTGTCGCAACAAAGCTCGAACCAGAAAGATGAGCCAGGCCCTAGCTCTACCAGTCAAGCTCCTCGACCTCGACCTCGCGCTTCGTTTGCGACTGCGAATACCATTCCATCTGGCTTAGCCAAGCCTAGAGCCTCAATAGGAACTATGAGCATGATTGCGATGACAGTCCAACCTGAAACTTGGCCAGCTGGCTCCTATACCATCTCACTCATCATCGATAATCGTGAAGTCAAATCAAAAGGGGACCGGGCTGGGATTTATAATCTATGTGTGACTAAAGCCCAAGCGCTCAATAAACGAGAGTCTGAGGAAATCAAAGTTGAACAAAGGGCCTTGGCTGTTGGTGATGCGATATGGATCGCGGTACATAAGTCGACTGGGAAGGAAGTCGTGTTGGATAGTATTGTAGAAAGGAAGAGACTCGATGATCTCTGTGCGAGTATACTAGACACTCGTTATCACGAACAAAAAGTGAGTTTTGTGGTAGAATCGATCTTGATCGATGCTTTAAAGTGAATACTTCAGTACAAGGAGCTCTTTCTTATCTTGATACACCTTTTCCCAATCTCTCAAAAAATGCGCTCCCTGTTTCGCTGACACTTTATGTTTTTTTTTATGTGATCAAAGGCAAGGCTGATGAATTCTGGATTGAGGGATAAGATCTACTTGGTAGAAGAATTTAATTCGCAAGCCAATCGAATCCAATGGGGAAAACAGATTGAGACCTCTAAAGTTGAGATGATGGTCGTGAGCAATTGTCATCTTCATGAGACGGCTGACTGGAAAGCTTCAGTGGATTATTTAATGATGAGAACAGAGGTCTTGAATACCTTACACAAAGTATGTATCAGTCGTCTATTCCTCATTTTTTTCTTAGCAGAACACTCGCTTTGAAACCAGCACTTTCAAAGTGTGAAAGACGCTATGATACTGATGAGTGGAGTCTCTTCATAGACGATTGATTTATCAGTCATACCCGACCGACACGTTGACCGAAAGAATTACTTGCCACTCTTGGCACAACTACGATCAAATAAGCCAGATCAATACTGGGTCACCTCCTATTGCGTGTTTCATTCCTTAAATGACAAGTCGAGCAATTTGACTATCAATCATATTTGGGCTCGAATGATTAATAGTATCAAAGGAATGAGTCCAGAGAAAGTTTTAGATTTTGTACAACGTTGGGAATCACCTCGAGTCTTTTGGGATGAATATAAACTTCAATTATCCAATCAAGAATCAATGAAAACCAAACCTGAGAATTGGATTGAAGATGAGATGAATAAGACTTTTCGAAGGATCGGACCTACACTGAGTGAAAGGATATGGAAGATGTTTAATGAAAAAGCCTATGGAAATTTGAAATAGAAGGTTATATCTTGAAGTTATACCTAGAAATCTCGAGATGATATTATCTCTTTGATTCATGTTCTGTTTGATTTTCCAATCATATCACTAATCCGTTAATTTTTTCTGTTTCTTTCTCGTTTTTTTTCCCAAGATCCTTCTTATACTCAATCTTGAACACTTTTTTAATCTTTTTTGCAAATTTGTTTCCATTTCTTTCTGTAGATTTTTCTTGATATCTTTGCTGAATGATAATTCCTAAGCTGTGGTGAATCCATGTGATTTTAGAGATGTCCGTGATCAATTCAAAACCTCTTGAGTCAGTCATGGAATGACCATTTGATGAATGCTTATCAATAAAGCCAATATTGGCCAACAGATAATCACCAGGATGATCAAAAGGAGTCAAACAGGGAAGTGATCTACAATAGGAAACCTTGATAAAATAGATTGATCACAAGATTTACAAGTTTGTTCACCAGCTCCAAAGAACAAGTTAGGTGGAACCAAAGGAATAAATCACTGACTGCTTTATAGTCAGACCTCATGAACACATCACAAGTCCTCTGTTATGTAAATAAGTCTGTGTAGCCATAACTTATCTCCAGAGTCTTCTGACCAGGTGATCAAATGCAAAATCAATAGAAAGGGGAATATGAAGGCAAAACACCTGGCCGGTTGGTTGTTACCGGCCAGGCCACACACCATTGATCACCTAAACTGAACCCATCCCTCTCTCTTGCAATAACTCGAGAGTGATGATCAGCTTGGAAGATTATTTAGATTGCTCATCATGGTCATATGAGTATGTATGAACGTATGAGTCAGATTTATAATATCATATGCTCACTGTTTCTACTCACTATGCAGTTCATCTTGAATTATATATTCTCTGAGAACTGATTCTTCAGAAAACAGAAAACACATGTGTAAGACCAAGACGTGAAGAGTGATGATCTTGATTTATAAATCCTTTACACCAAGATCTTAGAATACCAAATTTGATAAGCTCTAAATCATCAATCACAGTCAATTTGTGGAAAGACCACAAGCAAATTTGAAAATTTGCTTACACCTATAGAAAAATTAATTGTTTCTGAGTTATATAGATCAGAAGCTTGAGATGATTGTGGTGTAAAATTTATCAATAGAAGATCAGAGCACTTTGAAGTCTGCAGTGATTTGAAAGACCTCTTTTACTGGAAAATGGTTTCCTTGGAGGTCAGAATTCAAGTAGGCCTCAGGGTTTGGTCCTGAGGGAAGGGAGACACACAAGAAACTGATCTGAGGAATTAAGAAGGGCCAAGGATTGCTTGGGTGCTCTTCTCCTTAGAATCTCCACGCAAGGGATCCATAGATGTTCGCTTGCCAGAGCGCTATATGAGAGAACTATTGTTGATTGTCGGATCTTGTACTTTGTGGTAGAATGGTTTGGATTGGAGTTGCAAGGCTTTTCTTGATTTAAGCTCTGGGTAGCATATTTTCCATCAAATCAGGATATATATACACAATGTTTGATTGAAAAACCTATTGATGGATTCAATTGATTTTTCTGATCAAAATATTTGTACAAGAATTTGTTTTATTGATGAATGAGTCAAGTTTACCTGAAAATAGTAATGATAATAACAAAGAGGAAAGTTTTTTTGATGATGATGATGAAGTGTTAAGGAAATCAAATGATCTAGAAGGTAAAAGGATTATCGGAACCTAAGGAAAGAAAAATGGTTTGAGAAGTTTGAATGAGTCTTTTGGAAAGGTTCAACTTAAGGAATGAAGATACTCACATTCGAATGTAAGCTAATAATAAAGCACCACTAGAAGCTACTGTACCAACGACATATTGAAGACTGAAAGAAAAAAAAAGATAGGTTAGGAATCTGATTTTGAAAGATCTCTTTAAGATTAGTTGATGACTTACATATTGAATTTTACACTTTCCATTGTGGTACGTAAATTCCCAATTTCACCTTCGATCCTAGTATCTACTTCTCTAATCTTCAACTCACGTAAACCTAACTCATCACGTATTCTACCTTTTTCTAAATTCAAATCTAATCTAACAGAAGCTTGAGTACGAGTCTATGTAATGGAAGCAAAACGAAAAAGAGTGAAAAAAAAAATCGTTTTTCAAAAAATCGATTTGCATTTTATCATCACTTACAATCTCTTCTCTTAATCTTTGTTTTAGTTTTTCTAATTCACTTAAAAGTCGCTCGTTTTCTGATTTAAGTAATGCGAAATCTTGTTTTTCTACTAATTGAATTTCTGATTTAAGTTTTGCAAAATCAACTCTTTGAGTATATTGTTGCTAAAAAAACATCCAAACCAAAAATCATCATTAGAATCATCCTTCTTTCTTTTGAGGGGTGGGGGTGAAAGAAACTGACCTTTTCGATTTCATTTCTAGTGACTAAACCAGTGATCAAACCTTTAATAGATTGATCAATAACTTGTTCGATAGCCAAAATCAAACCTTCAGCTTGATCTCTCGAAAGACCATCTTTTTGTAATTGAGTAACAAATTGATGACTATCGAAATGAGCAGATTGATGGATTGATGTTTTAAAGAAAAACCTTTTCTAGACACAATTACAATTACAATCAGAAATCAAAATCCGTTATTATTGATTATTCGGTTTGTTTGTTTGGTTTGGTTTGTAGTTTGAATGTGATGATACCTTTTTTGGTTTGTGATTGGTTTGATAGAATGTTTGAACATGATTGAGTGATTTGTTCTTTGTTTCTTGAGTAGTGTTGAGTGGTTGAAGTGGTTGAAGTGGTTGATTGAGTGATAGAGTGATAGAGTAAAGTGTTGTTGAACTGTAGTTTGAAAGTGTTGTTGTTGTTGTTGTGTTGTTCTGTTGTGAAGTTGAGAATTTGAATTTGAATTTGAAAATGGAATTTAGTTTACCAACTCATTCATTAAAACGTTAGTCTCATCCTCATCCTCATTCTCAACAAATCAAAACTAATCATACTGACTTGATTCTTCGATCATCTAGACTTCACGGCTGTACTTAAATGTTTTAAATCATTTTCAGATCAAGTTCATCTCAATGCACTCGAAGATTGTTTAAAATTATCAGCTGTTTCACCTACTCGATCAACTTATGCCATCGCTAATCTTCATGAATCTTACTTTGATCATTATCATTTAAATTCAAATCAATTAGGTATCATTGAAGTTTTAACTAAAGTCAGTTTCAATCCCAAAAAAAAAACCGAATCTTTTTCTTTGGAAAGATTATTCACTAACATTGGATTTTGTCAAATTTAGCCATTATATAAAATCTTATCACAAAAAACCTTTCATGCATCAATTGAATCTTGTCAAATTTCAATTCAAACTGATCATCAATCTACTCATCTAGCCAAAAGAAGACATCAAACTTCCACTTTAGATCCAAGTAATTCGAGCAATCGTATCAAAATCCAACTTTTCTTATCAGTAGGTATCATTAAATCATTCTCATTACAATTCTCAACGATCTCAAGATCATTAAATCCGATTGATATTAGATCATTAAACAGTCCGAATTATTGGATCTCTCCTTCAAATCATCTTAAACAATGGATCGATCATTTCATTAGTCATCCTAATCTGATTGGAACTTCTACTTCGGGTTTGAATACTAGACAAGCTTTAGAATCGAATGAAGAACTTAGTTTTTGTTTTCATAGTGATGGTAAGGTTTTGATGAAGACGGTGAATTTGTCGGATGATTCAGATCAATCGATCATCGTTCCTAGAAGTGAGTTTAGTTTTTGGAAAGTTGATTAATTTCTTGCTTCTTTACTGATGTGACAATTTCATGTGACTTTAATGTAAAAATAGTCAATGATATCTTTTCGAAAGGCGCTCGTCAAGTATCTACAGTCTTAACGATCTCATCCAACGAATTTGAAGACTATCACGTCAATTTTCATTCACCAGAACCATCCAACACTCAACAAAAATCGGTACCCGAGATGATCATCATCACTATTTCGATGAAAGAGTTTCGATCGATTGTCGAATTAGGTACTACGATTGATGCACCCATCGATGCAGGTTTCTCGATGGGTGGACGACCGTTTTATATTTCGATTTCAACTTCGGATGAAAGTTTATCTTTAGATTTCATCTTGGCTAGTACGGGTGGTGAAGAGTTGAGTGGATTAGATCAAATTAGATCAGATCATGAAAAATCGGTTCATTCTTCAAGACCTTTAAATCAAACTAGAGTTCATCAAGCTCAAGCTCAAGAGATGAGAGGATCAGTTTCGAATCAATCAAGAGTTTCAGTCAATCATCGTCAACCGGTTCAAAGTACTCCGATCGCAGGTCCTTCAAGAAACAATGGACTCTTTCGACACGAAGCACCGGATCCTGATCGAACAGAACTTAACGGTCAAGACGAGTTTGGAAATGAAGATGAGATGAATGCATTAGATCAACTTGATGAAGGACAATTGGAAGAACTTGAACAACAAGCTATTCTACAAAGTCAAGCTCGTCAATCGCAACGCTTACAATCTCAACCATCTAATTCTGCAATTGATCTGAGAATGAGAAATGATCGTCAAGAGAATGGTGGTGGTGATGATGATGATGATCGACTTTTACCCACACAAGATCCTGAACAGGCTTCTAAGTTACCAAAGGTTAGCAGGTTTCATGATTTTTTGATCTTAGACTTGAGAATTGATCTTTAAACTAACTCGAGATTTCGGAAACCCCGATCTGTTATTGAACAACCCGATTGATTAGGGAAAGTGGAGATTGTTTGATTAAGAATTGGATTAATTTTGATGAATGATTGTGTATTGCTTATGATGATGATGATGTTTTGATAGATTTAATGCAATCAATTTGATTATTATCTTGTAAATCAAATGATGATTGTTTCTATCTTTCATCGCACTAAAGGTTTAAAGTTCGTAAGATATTTGTATGTCCTACATTTTCTTATTTACTGTTAAGATGGATCGTATGAGGATATCAAACCACAGTCCATCTCAGTCACTTTATCCAGCTTATTCCATATGGGATGAGGATCAAATGATAATCGAGATGGTAAGGTAACTTGAAGACATGCAGTCAGTATTCTAGACTTCAAAGTTCAGACAGACGGATCCGTTAAAACAATGAGGGTACAACTTCATCAGGTCTTCTACCATATCGTCAACGAGGTCATCAAGTATTTGAAGTGTTTACCACATGATTGTAAAAGTAATAAGCATCATCAGATTCATAGCTTCAAGTACCTCGATGCTAAAGGAGTCGTGGTTCCTTTTTGACTGTGCGGACAAGATCCTGGTAACGAAATGCGGTCAATGGACTTCAGAGTGCCAAACCTACCTTAAACCATAGCCGTTTGGGGATCTATGCGTCAAAACCCATAGAAATCAATATCCCCGCTTCCCGTCGATATTCATCTCGGAAGCGATCCATGCTATGTATTTCTGAATGCTTCACGAAGTAATTGTAGAATACATTGTCATACATCTTCGAAACTTTTATGTTTTTGTCCTCCCATATTTTCTCCTGTCACATAATTTCTTGGTTAAACTTATAGGTACTTGGTGTTTGGACACTTCTTCGTCCTCCATCCACGTCTGTTCAATCAAACTGGAGCATATTTATCAACATAGAGACAGAGAGGTACATGATTATTTATACGCATCTAAATTCTTCTTGAAACCGTGCGTGTGGGTCATGGGAGAGAGCATAGATAATTTGCATATAAGGTAAACAACACGTGGAGAGGAGTTGGCTTGCAAGCAGCTTGGAGTTGACTTGATGGAGAATAAAGTTGAAAAAATTAAAAGGGTCTACGCGGACTTGTGCTTCTGGTTCTTTAGAATTGTGGTACTGGTAGCTTTCAAGATACTCACATAGTCAACTTAGCCCATAAAAGTTGTATTCAAACTCATTGTGAAGATGGCTGCAGTCACGGAGCCTGACTCCTGAGGCCCAAATCATCTTCAACTGACGTACTGAATCTTGATTATAGCTTTAAAATTGACACAAAGTAATTTCAAGAGCTTTGTGATGGTCTCAATGAAACCTTGATGGATTAGCAGAAGAATAGGATGATCAAAAATAATGATTTTTTGATGTGAAAATGCAAAACAAGAAGTACAACAGCGATACAATTAACTCAACAAAATCAAAAGAAAAGTTTTCCAAGAATTATCAAAGTTACAAAAATCTACAAAAATCTTTCATGAAGAATTTCAACTTTGGAAACTGAAAGAAACTTCACAAAATATCCAAGACAAAATAATACTTCAAGAAGATCAGGATTAGGAAAATAAATAAATAAAACAATTTGTATAACAAGAAGGAAGAATGAGATTGAAAAAAAAAACTAAAAAACTAAATCACTTCGGACATCTCATCAAAAGAATCTGGAAAATTTTCTAACCACTTGAAAACCCTCATCTCTAACTCGTGATAAGTTTCCAGATATCCATCTTCAAAACCATCTTCATCTTCAGACATCTCTTCAGATCCCTCTTCGGCTAACCACATCTCATCAAACGAATCTGGAAGATGATCCAACCATTCAGAAACCCTCATTTCCGATTCATGATCCCTTTCATCATCGCCATCTTCAGATACATCTACAAATCTGTCTTCTGACGACTTCGATGGGCTTGAAGAAAATTTTGCTCGCCAGCTTTCTCCTAATGCGGCCATTTGAAGAGATTGGCGCGCCAAGAGCCGTTCAAGAGCATCGGATGTAGCTCTAGTCCGGGGTTTTGGTGCCATAGGGATCAACGGGCTTGATGAGAATTTCAAACGCCACTCTTCACATACGGCCGAGAGCTGTTGGGTCTGACGGGCCATGATCTTCTCTAGAGCATCAGAGGTCGCTCTAGTTCTCGGAACGTTGAAATTGATGGGTGAAGCAATTGGTGATTTTGTGGTAGATGAATCGAAGCTTGATGATGAATGATCAGATGATTCAGATGGATCAACTAGGAATCTTTCCTCGTATGTGATGGATTCCCCGTCCTCGCTGTTGATGCACTAATAGCAAAGTTATTCGAAATTAACAGGATTCATCACAAAAAAGATCAAGGTGAGATCATCACTCACGAAGTTTGAAGAAGGTTGGTAGTAAGTAGTCATTTTTTGTTCGGTGACGTGATCAAGGTTTTGGGGGTAAAGGTGTTGCTGATCAAACAAATTGAATCCAAGGTTAGTTGTCATGAAGTTAAGAACTGGACACTATACATTCAACTCACGTTATTGAGATTGTGTTGATAGCTAGGTAGAATTTTTTAGGAAGTCAAATTGATTCAAGAAGGAATTGAAGGAATTGTAAAGGGGACTTTGAGGATGAGGAAGCTCAAATATATCAATTCTCTTCACGACTTTGATTCAAATTGAGTTTATCACGATGCTGTTCCTGGTGCCTTCATTAGGGCAAAGCTTCAATCAGGCACCGAACGACTTCAAAAGAAGCCGGATGACAAACAAGCTTAAGAGCTTCAAGCAGGCACCGAACGACTTCACAAGAAGCCAGATGTAAAACAAGCTTAAAGCCCTGGATCTTGATATACACCCGTGCTTTGAGGGTATGGATCCAGGTCAAAAAAAGTTTGTTGAAGCTTTTTTAATGCCTGCCATCAGCGAAGAACCTTTTTAAAATTGATACACATTGACACATTGAATGATGGGAATCGGATGCAAATATCCTTCTGTGCTGGAATCAAGCAGCTTATGTCATGCAAAATATCAATGCAAAGGCACGTATAAACAGGGTATGCACAACAAGCCCCGCTGCTAAGGAAATTCACCTATTTAATTACCTTAACCCATAGGTTCCGAGGCAAGTATGGGTTAAAACCCTATGAGAATCAACATTTGCGCTTGACTTGAGCTTTGTTTGAAATCCTTTAAGTTTAAGCACATCCCTGAAGCAACCTACTATGTATCTCTGGATTCTGCACAAATGAATCACCCATGTATGACTGCTGGAAACTTGTTTTTCCCTCTCATCTTTCCTCTTTGGTCACTTGGGCTCTTCATCAGAAACACCTAAGCCTTTGGATATTTTTTTACCCCTAGCAGATAAATCAAACTGGGCCCTACAACTTAAGATAGAGTTGTAATAGGGGTACACAACTTCGGTAGACCGAAGAAGCGGGGGACAGGCTGAGACTCGTCTGAGAATCTGGGAAACCCGTCCATACCCATGAGGTATGGCCTTAAACCGGAAATGATGTATGTAAATGACTCTCATATTTTGTCGCTTTCTGACTTGCCGTTAGGTGAGGAAAACCCTTTTGCCAAACGTTCAACCACTTAAATCATTACTGGGCTGGATCGTGGTCGGTTCATGTCCCTACCAGTGACATGGCCGCCATGTCCATATCCGTCGATCAAACCTCTCCCCATATCCTTCTTTAAACTGCGAGTGATCAATTCCAAGTACCCATCATGCTCCTACGTGATTTCACCCTGGAACTCATCACGCAATATCCTCATCTTTCGGCGACCCTCACAGTAGGCGACTTTGTGTGCTTTGCAACTCTGGCGGCGGAAGTCGAACATGTAGCGGGGGAATCGCTACGTCTCTCACCAGCACGCTTTCCATTTGCACCGTTCTTCGACACTGCACTATCCGTTCCTACCGCACACAATCAAATGCAAGAGCTTTGGCGACTGTCATACCCCGTCCTTCGCGAATGCCGAATCAACCCTCAGGCTCTTATCCGCGACTTTGGCGTACAACAACAAACCACTCAGTTGCCCGAAAGATTCTTACGATCTCCTCTCACCAAGTGTATCATATGCACACCCAATCATTCTTACGCCTTACACGTGCATTCACGCATCAACGGCTATCTACACGACCTCGATGGTGTGCACACAGTTCAAACTGTCACACTCAATTGCTCCAGTAAGATGATCCGTTGGCGAAGTGCAGGGCACCCACGCGAAACAGTTCTCTGACGTGTGCTTCTTACCTTATCAGATCCTGCATGCGAAACCATGTATAAACCCAGCTTCTACACGCGAGGCGCTGAAAGATACTATTACACGCCGGACATGGGCCGAAACAAAGATTATCTCCACATCCATTGCCACTATTATATGTCATCCCGTTTGGCCTACACGTTCCGAGTGCTACAGATGCTAGGCCAGTATGTCAAATTTTGTTTCGACCGGCAAATCTTAGACACAAACTGACTCAGTTCTTTCCCTCTAGTGTATCACATTTCAACCTCGTCAATTGGTTCAACACAATCTTTGTAGATGACATGCCAACGTCCACGTTTTCACCAGGCCAGATGTTTAGTCCGTCAATGTCTGAGGAAGAGTGCCGCAACAGCCTCATCCTTCACTCTCTGATGAAGCACGCCGATCGGCGTGGAACCCGTCTAGTTGTCAGCTCCACCGGCACCGACAACCTCAGATTTGAAGCTGCGATTGAATCCCATCTAGACCTGTTACTCCTGGAAGGCACGAAGTATCGCGATCACTTTTGTTCAAGCTGCGTCCGTGTATTACCGGACAGCATAGACCCCAAAACTGGTGAAGAGTATTGGAAATGTACGTCATCTGATCACTCGGCGGGCAATGACTGACTTGATGACCTCTCCCAGCCATTAGGGCCGTAGTCACCGATGGTGTCACGATGGGGCACTGGAGGTGCAGTGCATCAACCGATCAACTACGCGAAATCGCTCGTACTTTGGGCCAGCCTATGCCTGAGGGTCCTTGCACCCGCAGGCTGGACAACATAAACGACCGGTACTGCCCACACCACTTCTCACTTCTTGGACACCGATGCCGCGCACAACCTTGTCCCAAGACGTGCGAACCTGGACAGGACACTTGCGATTCCGAAGACCACATCAAAGTTTGGGCAGCCTTTAAAAAAAGGGTCACAGGCAACTTTTCTCTTACATCAATTCTGAATAGGCCGGGAACCAATCTTCCCACCGACCCAACCTGTCACCTTAACCCTGAAACTGCAGAGTTCGAAGATCTAGACTCGCTGCGACAAGCTGACGAGTCGCAACAAGCCCACGAGAACGCACGTGATGGTGGCCAATCAAAGGCTGCAGGGAAATACCTCTTGACACGGTGTCGGACACACAACGAGCAGTTGATAGTGGGCCCGTGTGGCATCATTCTGGCTAGAAAGACATTCTTTAACGCTGAATCGGTCAGTGCGGTGAAGGTAAGTCTTGGTAGTGGACTCATACTCCAGTTGGGGTGACGCCTGATGTTTCTCTGGGTCATCGAACTGCACACACAGGACTTCCTTGAGGAAACATTCCCTCAAGGTCTTCCTGAGGTGGTTTTTTATGACAACGCCTGCCGCTTAACTGAACACATCTACTCTGGAGATACCGAACGAAGTCAATTTCTTGGAACAGTTATACCCGTTGACCCATTCCACCACCGTTCACATGCCGATTCGGACGAATTCTGCAAGCTCTTCACGGATCCGCATCTTTTCCCGGACATTCAGGAGGGGGGCCGGTGGATTTTCAATGCGTCCGCGGCCGAACTGACGAACATCTGGTTTGGTGGCTATGCCTCCATGTGCCGAAACATGCACCCACTTTTATACAACCTATTTTTGGAAGAGATGATCTACTTAAGAAACATGTGGTTGACTAAAAAGCTTGACAAAAGGAAAGGTATGGAATTTTTGGGCGAAGGGGTTTTGAAATGATGTGGAGACCGATTTAACCGATTTAGATATTTACGAACTTTACTTTCTTGACCATACTCTGATAGTCCCATGTAATGTGAAATGAATGGTGTCCCACGTTTATCTGGTGTCATTCAGAATGGATAAAGCAATTGCATTCCAAAGATCGCCAGGTGTCATCAAGCGCCTGGGCTGCAATCAATTGACAGCCAGAGAAGGGTCCTCTGCCTCAAAATCTAAATGGGCACACCCTTGTGCAAAGGGACGCCTTAGAGTGGACCCTTGCCTCCTATATGACCCTTGTCAACAGTCTTGGGGTACTCACATCCTTGTCGCTCGTGTGCTCGCTCTGTTCCAGCCACCACGCAGGTATATATAGGTGATAACTTGCGTGGCCAATGTTAAATCAATCACTTCGACAAGCAAAGATTACTTGGCCTCAGCTACTCACTATGCCCATTCCGATTTCTTACACTGCAGTGTTAAGCGCGATCCTACGCACAACCGGCGATGTAAGCCCAATTTAAGCATCTCTTCTTGTTCTTCCCCTTACACTGACCAATCTTTCCTTTCGTCAAACAGCCGGTCCGTGTCCACCCTGGGGAAGACGCACTCTCACATCATATGACCCCAACCAACCTTGTGCTCAAGGATGGAGAAGGCGAACCGCTCAGTGTCTCCGTGGAATCCCTGTCGCTTTCTATGGAAAACGATTTGCTCTGTCGTGATCGCACGGTACACTTGTCTGGTCCCTTTGGAGTGAATCCTGTGTCACGCGAAGCCTTCATCAAACACAGCCCGCTAACTCAGAGTGAGATATGCTCCGCGGCGCCAGACCCAAAAGAGATTGCTGGGAAGGCCACCATCAGTGGCATCGGGAAGGTGGTCAACGTGTCTCTCACACTTGTTGACAATCTCACCGATGAAGAAGAGCAATGGCACCTTACTGTAGACGCCGAACATAAGATATTTGATCCTAAGGTGATTTTCATGTTGTGTCCCTCTCTCTCGCCCCCCTTGGTGGTAATCGAATGGAGTTTACTGACCTGGTTGTTGTTATCGTTGCATCTGACTTAGGCGAAGAAGCTAGTTGATTTTGCAATCACTTACCGCTTTGCACATTTCAGTCCCCCATTAGCGGAGGTGACTCACATCAAAAAGGGCTGCTTGTTATGGACAGACTTGGGGGTTTTCGGCGACGAGGGTCAAGGGAGTTCTGGTGAGGATTTGTATCTATTACCAGTCTTCCTATGTGGATTGTCGGATGAGGGAAAATCTGTACAGGCAATGTATCTACAACTATAAGATGGTTCTCGAGCTTGTGACATGTAATGTGAATATGTCACTCAAGTGAAATAGAACCAGTTCATAACATTATCCCCCCTTTAATGCCCAATCTTCCTCTTGCAAGCTCTGCATTCTTAACAGTTCATTGCTCAAGTGAGGTTTCTTTCGATTCACGTCAGCAGCTCGGCGGCAGACGTGAGATTGCGATTCTGACATCCTTCCTTTCTTTACGCAGGTCATGCATCATGACATGGTTGCTGAAAAAGGTCAAGTGGTCAACGTGATATGGGTGGAATGATGAGCTAAACATGATGGGTACCCTCGTTTTGCGGAAGGCCGGAGATCCAATCCAAAGGATGATCAAAGAATGTACTGTGGCCTATGATGTTTCTTCGATAAACATTACCTTGCATTCATTTCAATTGCTCTCATTTCCATTTCATGGAATTTACACGAGGTGACCTCTCTCTCGGTTGGACCCTCAGGGGCATCGTATCTCACCCGTGCTTTAGCACGTTTGAGATGTCACTCCTACTCACGATCATGATGGACATGATTACGCCCAACCGAAAGGTAGCATTGATCAAAAATATTTTTGCAAAGGATGAGTCTTTCAAACACAAGCGATGCTAAAGCTAGCCAAGGTTCTGATCACGTTGGTTGTTAATTAAGCGACTATCAATCGCATTCCTGAACCACTATTTGACAAGTTTATTGACTTAAGAACATCCAAAGAATTGTAAATGATCGGAGAACATCAGTGAGAAGATTGTGCCTTTTTTTGGTTTTCACCATAGTTGAACCACTTTACCTTTTGACTTGACTGAGGCAACCTGATTGAATTCTTTCTTGTAGAAAATTCGAGCGTCACCAACAGTGGCATCTCGTTGTGATCCATACTTTGCAAAGAACCGTGGATAGGTGACCTTGTCTATCCAAGACCTGTACCGATACACTGTCGCAGACTGAAATACCCACTGTCCACCCCAACACGCAAGCCACTTTTGCGTGATGTTGCCTTCCACTGACTCCTGGTGCCATTGGAGTAGGGTGGAGACCAGGACATTTGCGCCAGGCCACCGTTTTTGTAATTTGTTTGAAGATGAAGTTCTAAGTCGGCGGGAAAATTTGATTACAAAGCATTTGGGGGTTTACAAAGCGTTTGAGGGTTCGGTGTGAAATGAATGAAGTACTGACCCTTCATCATTTAGGTCTTGTTCGCTGATAGGTGAGAGCGGGAGTTCGATTTGTTCTGATGGTTGAAACAGAAGAGCGCTCCCAGGCTCCTGTGACGGTTTGATCGCCGTGGACGGCATGGATGCTACATCGCTATCTGCAAACGCGGTGGCTTGGCTGCTGAGATTGCTCTCAGAGGCAGGGTGGACACCTTCCGGGACTGCCACCGTGGATTCAGGCAGAGAGATTTGAGAAGAGGCTGGTGTAGAAGTGACAGGCATGTCGTAAATCGGTGGGAGAGCCGCAGTCGATCGGAATTCTTCCGCCCATTGCATTGCAGGAGCTTGCATTGATGAAGGTATCACTGAAATCGGGAGCGTGATATTCTGAAGGCGCACGACTATTGTTCGAGATCGGTATCGATGGGGATAACTGACAAGGGTGTCGTGCTTAACCAAAGTGGAAAAAAACGAACAAATTAAACATCAACTCTAGGTCTGGGTGATGATCGTAGAAAGACGTTTGATTCTAACCCAGGCATGTATGGCCTCATCCCAAAAGCTGAGGGCTTGGTTCCATCGGGAACCAACAGCTTTGACCACAGCCTGCATCAATAGCGGGCTTTGGTCTAGACGCGCGAGTGGCCACTGAGGGAATTTCGCGGTAATTGCCTGCATATCAGAGGTCTGAACAAATAGTGGGTAAGTATGGGACAGACGCATCACAAATTTAAAATGAAATGCTTGGCTTGCGTTAACCCATAGGTGTATGGTCGCCATGAGCTTCTCGTCAATGAGGCTAGACGCATGGGCCTCCGCAGCTTGTTCTCTTTGGGCACGAATTTGATGAATGACCGCCACAGATTGCCCGTCCAATCGGCGTCCAAGCGTATTTGCTGCCTGCGCCCACTGATGAGGGTTAGCAGCCGAAGCCGGAAGTCTCGAACGCCCACTGGAGGTTGATGGTTGTGAAATCGTCGTCTGAATCTGAACGTCATTGAATGTTGATAGGTCACTGATATGGGATTGAACCTCGGGCAGGGGTTGTGCAGAAGCTGGCGGTCGAGGGTGTTGACGGCAGGATGGGGACCCAAACGTCAAGCAGCACTTGCAAAATATTCGAGGGATCACAAAGTAAGCTTTTGAATGATCGAGCTTCTGGAAATGGAAACTTACCCCGCGGCAGTACTGAGAGGGGCATGCTTTGTTACCATTAGTCTTATGGTTTTGAGCAGTTGGCCCCTCAAAAAAACGTTTACACTGGAGCTCAGGCTTTGAACGTGGTACGCGTGCTGTGGATTGGTGAGTGCTTGAAGCCGGTAAATTCGTTGAATTGGAATCGTCCGGAGGTCTTTGCAAAAACGGATGATAATGTTTAGCATTGGGGGGTGGTTTGGGTGGGAGAGTCTGACCTGCCGGAGACACTCGAGGTCCCCAGTCGGACTGCGTGGATATGATGGGCCTCGGTGCGCCTAGGTTGATGAGTGCCAGCTCATGATTGAGCTGGTCACAGCGCCACCACTTCCAGTTATGTTCGTTACTGGGGGTTGGGCACTGTTCATATGAAAGGCGTGCAGGAGTCAGTTTCGAAAGATCAAGAAAAGAACAATTAATACAAGTTAAACATTATCACACCCCAATTAGCCAAGAGTCCTCGTTCGACCTCATGTACTTCATGGGCGTCGTGCACACAGGGCAATGGAGGCCTACCGGGCCTCCATTGCTGGGGGTCGGCAAGGGCGCATTGGCGGTGACCATGCGATAGTGAGCTGATATGAGGGTCGGAACGACCATGTTTTCGGTGTGTGAGGTGAGCTTGAGTCTCGGCTGAGGTTATCGTGGGTGCCTTCGGCGGCAGAGTTTTTTGTATCATCTCGGTGATAATATTTGAACGACGTCCAGGTAATCAAAGTCTTTGAAACGCGGGGTTTATCCATCCCAATTGGGATGGATGGTGTTTGTGATGGATGCTGAGCTCAAGTGAGATGCTGTGAAAGGTCTCATGCTATGGTAATCCCAAGAATATAACCTTATGTATTCCCCTTTAAGGAGTTTATGCCCGGGGACATGTAATATGCTTACATGATGCGTATAGCGGGGGGCTGTATTCTCAGACTCTCAGAAAATTCTCATTCCCAGAGTCTCAGAAATTTCCCCCCGATTCTTTGGTGCTCCCACAAACTTGAACACCCGACCTAAAAACCCATGGACAAAACCCTTGACAACCTGATTGTTTTTTGGGTTTTGTCCATGGGTTTTCCGCTTTCCTGTTGGACAAAACCCAAAAAACAATCGGGCTGTCATGGGTTTTGTCCATGGGTTTTTAGGTCGGGTTTTCATGTTTGTGTACCCCTAATATGTATAGTGATATCTCGATCATAAACTTGTATGGTGGTACACTCGAGCCCATCGTGCCCCAAATCTGACTGAGGCTAGGTCACCTTTTGTGATCTGTTCCTTGCACGTGTTTGTCTTGTGCTAGGAACCCTTATGCCTTACTTTTCATTATACCAGTATAAGTGGATAAAAGATCTAAATACAATGTTAAACCTAATAAGACCTTTTATGTGGTGTGGGGGGGACTTCAGAGGGGTATTCTGTAAGGTAGCCTGCAGGCTCCTTACCCTGATACCCCCTACAAGGTGAGAACAAGCTGTAAATGATAAGGGTTTCTGGAACCAGGATGGCAAGTGGGTGTTTTGAAACTGAATATGAAGTTAGAGAAAAAATTAAGGGGAGAGAAAAGGGGCATGACTGATTGGAGAGTGCCAGGAGAGGTTCTGCGGGCAGGGGAGAGCAGGAGAATGGGGGTGAAAATCTGGGTGAAATCTTATGCTCAATCACCCCAGGCCTCTCTAGAGCCATGTGTGGTATGGAAACCTTGTGAAGCCACATGGCTTTTACCACCACCCTCTCCTCTTTCCTCTCATAATGCACCACAGAGATACCTCTGCAGGCTTTGGGTAATCTACTAATATAAATCATACTTACAAACAGTTGGACAGACTTAAGATGAAGCATATATGTAAGAGGAAGCATATATGTCAGATTGAAGGAAGTTTGTGGTAGTGGCTGAGTGTTTGATCCTAAAAGTGTACTCAAGAAGAATAGAACTTATAAGAGAAGAAAGAAATCCAAAATATGATAAATATTGACACAAGAAACCAAAAAAAATAAGAATAAACAATTATCAGGGTACTCAAAGTATGTGGTGCTACATAGATAAAAATAAAATAAAAATAAAATAAAAACAAAAACAAAAACAAAATGAAACTAGATATTTTGACAATTCTCCACCTGGATTTTCCATCAAAAAACACTGGAGGATTACCCAGCCATCTGGAAACCTTCACCTGCAATTCATGAATGGTTTACTCCTCTTTGTCTTCAAAAAAATCTTCAAAATCCACTTCTGGTAATCCCATATCAGCAAACAACACTGGTAGATTATCCAACCACTTGAGAATGCTCAGATGAAATTTACTATTGGTCTCTTCATTTTCAAATCCAAGATCATATTCAAGCAACTCATTGTCTGACAAAGTATTCTCCAGAATTTGAGCTGGTTGACTTGTCAATTTTGAAGGACTTGTCAACAATTTTCCATGCCAGACCTCCTTCAAATCCTATAAATGTTGACCTTGCTTAGCCATAATTCTTGTGAGAGCTTCAGGAGTAGCTGTATTCCTGATTGTATGTAATTTTTCTTTTGGGTTTGATGTTATATAGGGACTTGATGCAAATTTAGACCACCAGATTCTGCCTATAGCTGACAGTTGTTGATCTTGATGTGATAAGAGTTTTTGCAGGTTGTTTGAGGTTGCTCTGTTCCTGATGACAATTTTTGGAGATGAATTATTTGATAGATTTTTGGTTATTGATCTGAAGTTAGAGGTCCAATGAAGTGATTGAGCTGAGGATTCAGACATATCAGCCAACGTGTAAGGCACAATGCAAGAAATTACATTGTGTTGGGAGTTTTTTGCAGCCAAACAAAATCACAACCCTCAAATTGACATTGCAGATGCTCCACAACGAAATGAAAAAGATCAACCAAGCATTTTTCCCCAGTCACAGTGCAACTTATTGGTACTGAGGTTTTATGCAACAAAGCGTACTGTTGCATCTTTTATGTTTCCTGTCTATTTACCCTTTTGGGAATGGTTTCAATTGGTTATTGTAGGCATCACCACACAATCTAGTGAGTTGAAATCAAATAAATTACATCATTCTTAGGTGCAATTAGTACAATGAGTTCTGTTTTTATTTTGTTGTGTTATGTTGCAGCCAAACGCAAGAACACAACAAAATGCCTTGAGGTCATCAGGGAACACAAATTGTGGACAATTTTGTTGTGTTTTGTTATGCTTGCATGTTGTATCAGCCAAAGATCTTTCATTGTATGGTGTAGAATTGATATCCTGGTGGATGCACTACTTACATAAATAATTTATCAAATCTGTATAAGTGTGATGGATGATTAGAGATATCTTCAAGAGGTGCTGAAAACTCACAAATTTGTGCAAAGGTAATCAAACGTTCATCATTGGGTTTTTAATAATATCACAATTTTTATGTGATGAACAATGATCTATTGGCATGGTTTAAATCTAAGATCAAATTGTCATGAAATCAAACATTCTATGCATTTAACTCACATTATGTAACCTGTGTTTATAGCTAGGAAGGATTCTTTAGCAAGTCAAAAAGATATGCGAAGGAATTGATGAACTTGTCAAAGGGATTGAGAAGATGAAGAAGTTTGAATATGCAAGGATATTGATTTTCTGGTCAAATTTAATCCAAATCATGTTTATCCTTCTCAAAAGTCAAAGCACCAATCAAGCACAGAATGAGTTCACAGAAAGATAGGCCACTTGATCAGACAGCTGAGGCTCCTGGATTTTGAAATACACCTCCTGAGAAATTATTGACCAAAGAGCCCAGATGCCCATTGAAGCTTTAGGGTCACCTCCCCATAACAAAGGAAGAAAATAGCCATAATTGTCTTTATATAGTAGCTCATCTATTATATTTAACTAGAGATAACTGAATTATTTCTAGAGTGTTCACTTGGATAATTTGAGCAAGTTGCATGAAGAAGTTGAGATTTATGAAGAATGAGCAACACAAAACGTGTGCGCTTGGTGTCTCTGACATTGAAGATCTATAGTTGGTCCATGTTGACATGATGACAAACAGATTAGGTTTTCCATTCTGCAGTAAACAGTTTTGCGTATGTACCTATCACAGTTCTGGTACAGCCAATTAATAAAAGCTTGTGATTGGTCAAGCTTTTGTAAGTTGACTGTACACGTCCCCACGCCTAGGATCCGTAATCATCGGGTTTGCAACAGGCCCCGGCCCTGCCACTGCAGAACTTGAATGATTACATAAACCACTTGGAGGGGACTGTACTTGACAATGATACTTGAAGATGTTACTCACTAAGAGTCCACCAAGGTCATCAAGGTTCAAGTATCACCTCAAAATTGTATGTGGCAGTCAAATTGTTCACCAAATTGGCTGCAAGGCATACTTGTATTATATTACTCACAGTAAGCACATTTGACATTTAATATATCCTACATCACAAAAACTTCCTTTGGAAACATCCAACTTTGTATCATTTTGTATCAGTTTTGATTGCTTTAACACATACATACATATAGCAATCCCCATCTTTGTCTCTACAAACAACAAGACCCATGTATATGACAAAGACAGATGAGAAGGATCTGCAAGAGATTGTGTTGATAAATGATGAGAAAAGCTAAAGTTAATTCACAAAGTCCCACACTTGCCTTGCAAGGTTTAGCTTGCCTCAAACTTGTGTGTTCTACATATAGGCTGAGGATAGAGTGTACTTCAGGGATCCTTTTTCATTCCCTTCTGCATCATTCCCTACCAAGGATCTGTATATGTTCCAAAGCAGAACAAATTACAAGGTTTACTTTGTCCCACATATAAGTAATCATGTTTGAGGACCCAGGAGTGCCCCTATATGTGTGAGTGACAAAGACAATCCCCTTTTTGGTGTCATATTTCAAAAAAAAACCTAAATAATACCCTGAATAGTCACCCACTGTCACATAACCCGGTTTTGGAATTTTTGGCTGGATAAATCCCCATTTTACTCACCCACCTTGGAAAAAACCAAGAAAACAAAAAAAGGGCTGTTGGTGCATGCATAGGTGCCAAATATGCATCTGTAGCATGTTATTTCACTTTGTCAGGAATGTGTCTTTTGACATGATGAATTGGTAGTAGAGTTTACAGCTCCTTGGCGCATGAAGGATTCAATCAGTCAGTAATCAATCTGACCATTTATGTTATGACTAATTTCTGGGCTGCAATTTAAATTTTGCAAATTTATCAGAGTAGTGGCCAATTAACTTTTCATGATGAAAAGAGCCATGCATGGTGTGTAAGGGAGTGTATGGCTTTTGTGATCATATAGCAACCATTACCAATGTCCTTGAAAGTTGAACTGTCAAACAAATATACTACATCAGTAGCACTCAGGAGAGAACACATGATCAAGCATAAAGCCTGAAAATCTTTGAGAAACCAAATTTTGGAAAGGTGAAAACCTAACGCTAGTGAGCCAAAAAATTGCCTTCCACATCACCCACATTGAATCCTGGCACCTCAAAACTCCCCTCTCAGTTCACCCACATTTTGTTGCAATGTGACCAAAACTTTCCCAAAACCCCACCTTTCCTGTCATGCTATATTGGGGCATTCCTGGGTCCGTCTTGGCCTCACAGACGGGCAGAAATCCCATAGCTTGGGCTAATACGTTAACCCATAGTCTTTTGGCAGTATGTGTCAATGTATGTGTTATGTAACAAGCCCATCAAAATGAACATCCACACTTTGTATGTTTGGAGTTCTTATACCACATCCCTGACGGTGTTTCATATACTGCAGACACACATATCAAGTCACCCTTTCAGGTGAAGGAGGTCCACTCTGGATAATAATCATGATTGTAGATTTGAGGGAATGATGCAGTATAATCTCTGATCCTATACATGCCTGCTATTGAAAGCCGTGCACAAATATACTTGAAAGGTAAATGGGGTGATTAAAACCAAGTTCATATACAAGTAAATCACCTTGAGCATTTATGATGATGTCAAAGATCAATACCAAACAACATCAAGAAGTTTATCATCATTTGGAAAAGCCCATACCGGAAGCCTTGTGGTACATCCTAGATCAACTCAGTTTGTGATCTAACACAATCGAAACGACACGATATGGATAATGGATGAAACAGGAAGTAGATATCCGTATCACAAAAAAGTTGTTATTTTGATATGAAAATGAAAAAGGTGAACCAAAACAGTACAAATAAATTCCAATGAAGATGGAAAGTATCCGAGTTACAAAAAAAGCTTTCACATAAACTTAGATATTAGAAATTCTGGAGAATGAAACCTCTTTATAAATATACAAGAGAAGCATGCTACATAGAAGAAGATTGGAATTAAGGGAAAAACTGCCAAAACAAGAAATCAAGGAAGAACAAACAAGAAAATGAAACCAACAAAAACTACAACAAGTGAAATCAAAAAACAAACTTAGAAGTCCAAATACTCGATGTCTTCGACTGTATAATCAAAATAATCTGGGAAATTATCCATCCATTCAAAAACCCTCTGTTCCAATTCGTGATCCCTTTGATTGGATCCATCTTTAATCATCTCTCCAAATTTGATGTCATCTTGATGGTTTGACTTAGTTATCTTGTCATTTATTGCGTTTTCGTTGGAGGAATTTAGTGGATTTGTTGGAAATCTCTCCCGCCATACTGCTCCCAACAATGTCAATTGATGAGATTGACACGCCAAAATCCGTTCTAGAGCATCAGAGGTGGCTCTAGTTCGGATGACAGGTACATTTTCCTTCGGAATCGAAGGAACAAGAGGGCTCAAAGAGAATCTCGACCGCCAAACGTTGCACAAAGCGGAAAGTTGAGTGGCCTGAGTCGACATGATCCTGTCAAGAGCATCCGAGGTGGCTCTTGTTCTAGCAGTCTGTACGGGTGAATATAATGTTGACTTGTAGAAGTCGGGATCCGACCTGTATGACGAGGTATAGATTGATGTTTCGGCCAATGATCTTCCATCATATGGCGTGAAATCGCCATCTTGGTTGATATCCTATGCATATTGCAATCGAATCCTTATAGGTTAGAGTGGTGATGAGGAAAATCACTAAGGGAGTTCATCACTCACAAGTTTGGATGAAGGTAATTCAAATGTCATGATTGTGTTTTGGAAGCGTAGAACTGTTTTGATTGGGTTAAAAGTGTGCTGACTGCTGATCAAAAGTTACAAGTATAAGCTCAGCCTTATCATGAAATTAAACATTGATGAAATTAACTCACGTTATAAAAGTTTTGAGGATAGCTGGGAATAATTTTTTAGAGAGTTGAAATGATTTGTTAGGAAAGTGAAGAATTGGTGGGAATTGTGATGATGAGGAAGTTTAGATAGGAAAATATGTGTTGATTTTTCTCGACAAGATTGATTGACGTCTCAGCACTTCGTCCCTTGTCCCTTGTCCCTTTGCAAGGACGCGGACGAATGACTTTACAAGAAGTTATGCCGACTGACACACGGGCTTAGCTGCCTGGATTTTGATATACACCGTCCCGGGAATATGGATTTACAAACACGGAAGTTTATTGGCGCTTTTTTGACCGTTTTCCATCAGCTAAACATTTACGTAGTAGCTCATCCATCGCCTTTTGACTACACAGAACTGTAGTCATTCTTGAAATTTGACCTGAATCTTTTCGATGTGTTCTGTACATAAGAACAAGAACATTGCATGGTCGGATATAGCCAAGTAAAAGTATTGTCAACGTCGATATCTATGACCCTGGAGAGATAGCCAATACCGGTTTCAATGATGATGATGATGAAAAAAATTGGTTTGATATGTGGTAAACAGCATTGAGTATCACAAGAATAATCTTCGATGATGTTTTTTTACCAATTGGTCAAAAAGCTCATCAAGCACATGCATCATGCGAGTCACTTATCTCAGTGTGTTTTAAAACTGTTCTATTCTCAATCATGAAGACCGTGTTCCGAATTGTCAAATAGATTGTGCATCGGTTTTGATTCCTATTATATCTTCCTTCACAAAACCCTTCCCTTTCTTGAAAGATTAAAGAGAGTATTTGTATCTGATAGTTTGTGCCCCAATGGCAAAACTGATCGGCGAAACATTATGAACTGGCATAACACAGGATCATCAAAAGTAATGATCTTTTGATATAAAATGCAAAAGACGAGCCAAAATGGTACAACAAGGAAGACTATTCGAGTTACAAAAAGGCTCATACTTGCAAAAAAGATCTTTATAAAGGATTGACAAATGTTCATACTTGAAACAACATAAACAACCGAAATAAAAATATGAAAGAAAAATTCAATGATCTCCTAAAACAAGATACCAAGGAAGAACTATCATGAAAATAAAAATACGTAGCTGCAGTAACCAAGTGAAATCAAAACTCAAAAGTCCAAAGACTCGATATTTTTGAAAGTGCAATCAAATGAGTCTGGGCTTTATTTGATGGTTTTGCCTAATTATCCCATCCTTTGTCACGTTGGCGTTGGACGAGTTTGATGGATTTGATGGAGGTGGCTCTAGTTCGGATGACAGGTACATTTTCCTTCGGAATTGAAGGAACAAGAGGGCCCGAAGATAATTTCGACCGCCAAACGTTGCACAAAGCGGAAAATTGAGTGGCTTGAGTCGACATGATCCTATCAAGAGCATCCGAGGTGGCTCTTGTTCTAGCAGTCTGTACGGGTGAATATGATGTTGACTGGTTGTAGAAGTCGGGATCCGACCTGTATGACGAGGTGTAAATGCCAATGATCTTCCATCATATGGCGTGAAATCGCCATCTTGGTTGATATCCTATACATATTGCAATCGAATCCTTATAGGTTAGAGTGGTGATGAGGAAAATCACTAAGGGAGTTCATCACTCACAAATTTGGATGAAGGTAATTGAAAGGTAGTAGTCATGATTGTTTTGTTGGGTGATTGAGGTTTTGTGAGTAGACTTGAAAAGTTCTGCAGGTCGGAAGAATCAACTCACGTTAAAAAAATTAGGCAACCTTGATTGATTTCTAAGCATGGTCAACGCTTCAATCAAGAAAAGAAGGACTTCACAAGAAGTTATGCCGATTACACAAGCCCAGCTCGCAGGACCTTGGTATACACTGCCCCGGGGAGATGAGGCTCGGTTTGTTGTAGTTTTGTTGAGCCTTTCCTTAACAATCAATTGTTAAGAACAGTTCCCTATGAAATGGTCGAGTGAAGGGTATCCGGATCGCGCTACAAGTGAGGAAGCAAAAAGTTTGGTAATGCGCAGCTTTGAATGTGAGACAAAGTATTCAGAAAACATACCGTTGTAAATGGCTCAAGATGCTAGTCTATTCACATTCGATTATAAATGATTGAGGTCACTCTGGAATATGTATCTGACCTGGTTCCTTTGTATAATTTGTTTATAAACAAACATCACATCGAGAGATAATTTTAGATGATCCCAAGGAAAAGTAGGCCGATATCGATGTCTTTAGCTTTGAAGAGTAAGTTCGCCCAGATTGAGATGATGGTGGATGGATTCGATTTATGGTAAACAGCTTTGAGTATCACGAGGATAATCCTGGACGCCGATGACGTCTTCGGGATTTACCAAGTGGTCAACAAGCTTATCGACTTTTACCAGCGTGATCATCAAAACTTTACAAGGATTTGTTCATGGAAGGGTCATAGCAGTAGACTATGTCTGGGCCTATGCATACCACTCAAGGTGCCCTCAGTCACGGGACGATAATGATCCAGGAACACCGATATTCGACAAGCGTTTTTGTACGCATTCTATTAACAAATGAATTTTTCGCAGAACCACTATAACCATTTGCATAGAGGGGTAGAGTCAAATGAAAGTGTTACCAACATCTCTGAAGCTGAAGAGATAGGTAAGATGGATGATGATTGATAAATTCGTTTACATGATAATATTCCTCGATGACGTCTTTTACCAAATGGTCAACAAGCTCATCAAGTTTTACCAGTCTGATCCTCAGAATATCAAGACATCAGAGTATTCATGAAACACTGGTGGAGATCACTCACAGTGAGTCTTTCTCTCATCATATCCTTAATCATGATAACCTCCTTTCAAAACATGAAATGGATTAAGTGTTGATTGCGATATATGCCCATCTTTCTCTCCACAAATCCCATACATATATTTCAACAAACAGATGAAGGGTAGCAGCAAGCATTTTTAGACTGAGGCTTGATATAGAAGATTTGAGTAAAAGGAAATCCCAAAAAAATGGAAACTGAAATATTCAATCTGACTACTTCAATGTGCTAATTGTTATACACATCACGATGGAATAATCTTGGAGATTTAAAACTCTTTGATGAGAAAAAAAACACCCTGGAAGTAATTTTCTTGTTTTTTTTTTCTGTCTACAACTTACTTCACTGATCAGATAACAACGGAATCACTTTTTAGACCATCATCATGACAAACATTTTCAATTCATAAGAAAAAAATGCAAACGTCGTGAAGAGATGAAATTTAAAGCATATAACAAAAAAAGGGGGGAACAGTCAGGGTATTCTTTATACATTGTTAAACCATCAAAAAACCCATCACACTTGCCCTTTGGTTTTACCTATTTAATGAAGTGACACGTAGATAGAGACTGGAACAAAAAGCATTGGAATCAAATTTAAAGCTTAAGCTTATCCTGAAGTGCTTCATCCGTTACATCAAGTGATCGCTTTTTCTTAGTAAGGCGCATAGTTGCGAGACGATCTTTGACTGCGACTTGGTCCCAGAGAAGGCGGTGGTGGAGCAGTATGTTGATGGTAAGAGTTAGCATAAGAACTTGATGGACCAGATCGCATGCTTGAGGGACCCGACCTCCAATCAGGAGCATACGCTGAGCTATTAGAACGATGATAGCCTCCGCCACCCGAATAACCACCTCCCATACCTCCTGGACCGTCATACGCCATCCCACGTCCTCCTCGATCATCATGCATCCCCATTCCTCCCATGTAAGATCCACGACTGTGTCCCATTCCTCCACCCATAGGCTGTATCATGGAAGGATTCCATGGTTTCCAGCTTGGATTACTCATCGAACTCTTGTAGAAGCCTGGCATGGAGCTTTGGCCGTAGGAGGGTGAATCATGATGACCGGATCCGGAATACCCACCATATCGATCATGGGGCGGGGCCATTTTGTGCATGTCATCCCGTCCCTCATAGCGCGCACGGCTGGGTGCTTTCTTTTTCACTTCGAGCTGACGATAGAGATTGAATTTCAGATAAGCTGATACCGATCGAGGTCACGACCAAGTCAAAGCCTGTGACTTACGGGAAGTCCATCCATGACAAAAGGACCACACTTCAACAATTGGTCAGCATCGTCCCCGGTCACAAGATTGATAAAGCCGAATCCACGATGTCGGTTAGTATCGCGATCCATCATCAAGACAGCTTCTTCAATGTTGACCTGATTACCATACTGAGCCCAATAGGCACGGAAGCCTAAAAGCCGTCAAGCGAATCAAGCCAACGAGGGTAGTGAGCAGACTGTAGCCCAGCGAATACAATTATATCAAGTGCCAAAAGGATACACATGACTTACTCTGCGGGGTTGCATCTTCAGGCATGCCCCTGCAAAACAATTTGTTGCTCAAAGAAGCTGCGCTTTCCGATCCCGAGTGTCGTTTATCCACTACCGATGAGGTAAGGAGTCCGGCTGGTAAAGGGCCGCTGCCGCGGGGTATAGCACGCTTGGGATCGATCTGCAATACCTCATCTTTCTCAGAAGCCCCATCTTCCTGACATATTCTCAAGAGATTTGAAAATTGAAGGACTCGCGTACAAGTTTTCCATCTAGAAAATGTTCTTTGACCATGACTTTATTCACTACCGCAGGATCGGCGAAAGTCAAGAATGCAAATCCTCGAGAGCGACCATTAGTTGGATCTCTCATGATGGTACAGTGTACAACGGCGCCAAATTGTGTGAAGTATTGTTTCAAGGCATCTATATAAGCAGAAAGTGTGAGGAAACGATTTAAATTATCATAATATATTAGTAATAGTGATATATAAAGACATCAAGGATATACGAAAGTACGATTAAGTATTCTTCCTAAGTCAGTTATCAGATATAGACTATTATATATAAACATGATGATAATAATAATTGTATTGTAAGTTACGAACCCTCAGAAGTCTCCCAATTCAAGCCGCCGACGAACATTTTTCTAAGTAATTGTACGATTTAGTGAAGTAAGACGTAATTGATTATTTCGTATTGTGTTAATGTTATGTGAAGTATATCAAGGAGGAAGTATCAGTAGATGATAGGCGCTCAGGTAGATACAGTGAATATAAATCGTCAGATGCAAATTTGACAAATTAATCAACGATTCAAGCGCGTATAAGGTATTTATCTCAAGCCTAGAGCAGATTAATCGTTCTACGAGACAGATATCAAGCAGCTAAGGCAATCTAGGATACGGTAGCTAAGATAAGATCGAAAGCGATCTTTGTCTGACATCGACGTGACCTCGCGAGTGCTTCCACAGAGCCATTTCATGGCCATACGATCAGGAAGCTGATAAAGGAGAGAGGGAGGGGCCTTCGTCTAAAAAAAAGACGCCGAAGGGCGGGAGAGAGCGAAAAGTACTGACCCTTCGTCAGGCATATCAGAGGGTTTGACGCCCCATAGAGCGGGCCGGCCGCCGCTTCCCGCCGATGGGCTTTGAAGTGCAGGGGAGAGAGGTAATCGAGAGGATGGTGCCTGCCAGCCGGATTCAGTTCCAGTTTCTCGAGAGTGATCGGATTTCTTGTTTGCATAATTATCTTCATAGGTGGAAATTGAGAACGTAGTCGGTTGAGGTCCATTCGATTCACCTTTGATGGAGGCAGATGACACCACGGGTTTGATATCGCTGGCTGGGAGTTGATCGTCTATGGGTGGTGGAGGTTGCGGTGAAAGTTCAACAGGAGAACCAGGATCATCGACATCGCCATACAGGTCACCGTATAGGTCCAATTCAGCCATGAGAATAGTTCGAAAAACGACGAAAGCTAAATGAGAAGAAGAAAAGCAGGTGAGAGGAAAATCGAAATCGAGGTCGAGATAGGTTCAAGGAGGATTGTGATGAAAAGTTTTTTGAGGTACGATGATGAGGTAGGTGAGTGATCGTTGATAGGATTGAGAGATGAGCTTGAGTCTTGATGAATCGTCTCAGATTAGGGTTACCAGCTTTGTGACTTGAATCGATCCTGGCCAAAGTCACACTCAAAGGGGGAAGAAACAAAAATCGAGATTTGGGTCTGATACAGGGTCGGTACATCTTCCGCTCAAACCGATCAGACATCTTTGAAGCTTGAACCCGTTGATTGCATACATACACGCAACTGCGGATCGTGTAGAGGCCAATGCTGGCAGATGGTCATCAAATAAGCTTATAATAAGCTTTTTTTGTTGACTACATTCTTTCATTGGAGACAGCCCCAAAACCATCCCCTCATGCCGTCAAAACGCCCTCAGGGCAATGACGAGGATCGCCCCCGCCGAAAGATCCTAAGCCAAAGCAAGGACCAACAGTCCCGGAATCAATGGTAGACATCTTGTCCGCACTCGCTACGAATGGAACAATTTTGAATGAGGCACTACTTCAAAACATCATCACAATGATATCCATGTTATAGAAACAATTAAAGAATTACAAGAAGAAATCAAGAAATAGAGTATACAAATATCACTCTGGAAATTTCCAGACAACTTCTTCCAGAACAACAGGAGCCTACTGGTGTTTGGGAAAACACACAGTGTTGGTTATTTGAAGCTTCTGAACACCATAAGGTCAGAAAATACCCAAAAAAATTCTGGTGTTCTGGGAAAACCCTTCTGAAAATTTCCAGAACCATATCTGTATACCCTAAATCTCCATGCAGAAAGAATCAGAGAATCAAACTCAATTCTCCAGAAAACCAACCACACATTACCAGCAAAACCTCAAGCCTGGACCACCCCAAACACAAGACTACACCAACAACCACCAACTCGGGCTGCCCCTAAACCCCCACCCAAAAATGCCAAAATCAACCAGTTCAAAGGCACTCATAATCCACAGAGAACCTGAAAAAGAGCCATTCAAAGGAATGTCTGATACAGAAAAGGTTTGTCACATCAACAGAGCCCTCCTCTCTTTGAATGCAGGTGTCAAAGACCAACCAGTGAAAAAATCTGCAGCACATCATCCTTAAATTTGGCAATGTCCTTATGAGTATGGACAACAGACTTATCAAAAACCAACTACTCAAAAACAAACACAGGTGGACCAAACTAGCCCAGAAGGACTTCAAAACTTCTCAAACACACTACCATGTTCTTTTCAATTTCATTGCCTCTGGAATCAAAGTCCAGCAAACAATTTCCAGACAGACTCTGTGAACAAAACAACATCCCACACAAAACAATTCACTCTATTTGATGGCTCAAAAACTCCAAAGACACCAAGAAGAAACATGTACAGCACTATCATAGTTAACCTGTTTGACAAAGACTTAGCAAGAAAGATTGAAACAGGAGGGTTGTATGATAAATGCAAATGTATCAAAAGTATACAATATGTACAAGCAGACACAGAAAGTACATGTCACCCCCCACCCAGTGCCAGACTCTCTTGCACTACATGTGTTGTAGTGATCTTTTGGCCCTGAGGGTGTTGTATCTTTTCTGTGCCCACTTGTACAAGTCCTGAATATGTGTTTCACTGTCTAGAATTACACCATACTCATACATCATGCAATAATAACCCCCATTGCTCAAAATGTGGTGACTCTCAAAACACAAAAGACTGTACTAACAACAAGGCTGTAGAAGCATGTGCCAGATGTGTAAGTTCTGACAGTAAACAAACCAAAAATAAGATTGACAGACTCCTACCACAATGCAATCATTCCTCAAAAAACCTTTTATGCCCTCTATTATACTACACAAAGTTGATTCTGGAACTTTTCCACAAAATTTCCAGAATATTCTTCAGAAAGCCAGAATGCTTCTGCACCCTGGGCAAAAGGGCATTCAAACATGTACTGTTTTTCACAAGTCCAGGAGTCCAGAACACAGTCAAATCTGTGTTCTGGGGCAGTTCTGGAAAATTTGTGGAAAAGTTCCAGAATCAACTTTGTGTAGGACATATGTAATACAACATTGGGGGCGCCCTTCACGGGCACTGTGCAATGTGTGCACTTTGATCTTAATTTTTTCATCTCTTACATTGCAAATGAAACCATCATTTTCTGCATAATAATCTACAATGTCCATTAACAACTACTTCTTGATTGACTCAAAAAAGAGTTGAATTGTGAGGAGGTTGTGGACTGGAGGTATGTAATATGTGACCTTGAAGACAGATATTTCTCTGGCCTGAGGAGCAGATTATGATGTGACAGTTAGAGAATAACAAACTGCATTTGGATTAAGTTGGTAATATAAGAAAAGGAAATCAATTCAAAAGTAAGAATATTATGGCAGCATAGATCCAACCCGTGTAACAACTTCCTAGGGCAATAGAACTTGGTAAAGATAGGGAATGGGGGGAGAATAAAAGATACAAGAAAAAATGGAGCAGGCAATGCACAGTGTTGCTATAGTTAGTTGAAAAGATGAAGAGAAGCTTGATTGGAGATTTTTAGTTGAAATGAAGTCAATGTCAGAAGGAGGGGAGCTATTCAATCAATTTGGTAGGTTCAGATGAGGATTGATTTTCATAATAGGGGTAATGTGAACCTGTTCTATAGCCGCAGGAAACAGATTTAATAGCATGCAACAGAATGCACAGCTGTGTTAATTGCTTTTCAAAGAGTCATGATAACAGTGATATATGCACATGGCAATTTAACCAAGGATGTGCGTGCATCAACAGGAATTTTCACGTCTTTTGTGTGTTTGTTGTTGTCTTGATTGGTCTTTCAGATGTTTGTTTTCCATCCACCCTGATAACCACATGAACCTAAGAATGCCAATGCCATCAGAAGAACATTCTCAATCAAAATATCATAAACTTTGCAGCCAAAAGACTTGACATGCTGACCTTGATGCTTGACAAAAAGGCATGACAACAAAAAGAGTTGACAAAAGTACAACCTGAAAAGCACAAGGAGCAGGCCTGACAGTTCGGAGGAAATTAAAGCATGACAAATGGATTGGATTTGAGCAAAGCACATCTTGAATACCTGAGAAATGGATGCCGTTGGAATCAGCAGTATGTAGGTCCCATTAATGGGAGTTGGACCTGACTCATGAAGAAGAGGGGGGAACATAACTTTGTTTTGTTATTCAGATTTGTAATTATGTGTGTAAAAGTATTTCCAATGAAGTTTGATTCTATACCACCTTTGATGTTATGTGCAACTTGAAGTCTGATGTTGGCATTGGCATCTTGCGCCTCAGGCTGAGGGTGTGTCCTTTTCTCAAAAGGTGCACCAGCGCGCATTCTGCTCCACAACCACCCTAGGCATCACTGGGCGTGTCAGGTGCGCTTTTTTGTTACAGAACAACTTTTTCCCACAAGGATTGAGGGAATTTGGGGAATTTGGAGATGCAATTCATCCTATAACTTCTTGATGTGACTCCTGCCAGCTTTGAACTTGATTGGATGCTTGATCTTGGCATTACCAATCAAACAATGACACAATTTTACTTAGACTCAATGCAACCAAGCATTTTCCCTGACCAGGGAACAGCCAAACCCAGTATGGTACTTTTGGGCACGCCTGCATACTTTCTGAGTTTTCTGGGCGCGCTCCGCGTCATCTGGCGTGTTCTTTCAGACGCGCCCCCAGCCTGACTTGAGTCTGTAATAGTCGCTCTACAATTCAATTGCGGCACCATCAATATTGGAAGAAACATGAATTTGATTGAAAGTACATTAAGGGATTCTAATTTCTGGCACAAAGAGAAGATTAAACATCAATCTTGAAACAATCTAGCACAGTTTAGCAAAGGAAAAACAAACATATAAGACATTGGTCGATAACTTCGGTGTGCAGTAAGAAAGTCAAAAGAACTTCAGTCAAGGTGAATTAACAAAGAAGAAGAATAAAATCGTTTGTAACCACTTACCTACTTCAAAGTCAAGACTCTTCTGGATGTGTTGAGCGTCAGTACTTGAGCCCGTGTGTACTGGATCGGCTTGCACTCTTATAACAACTCTCGATGATGAACCTTTTGTAACTTTCTTCTTTTATAGCCTTTTCCATACCAGAATACCGATCAAAAGGTATAGGTATCAAATATCCGGTGGGTTTTTCTTCATTCGTGTGCGAATTGTCGGGCTGAGGGGTATTCTTTTTACCAGTAAATTCGATCCATCGTTTCTCGGTCCATTCGTTTTCTGATTTACGTGTGCCGAGGAAGATATCTTAAGTTGAAATCTCTCTTCGGTACTAAGACCAACAAAAGTGAGGAGTCGTACTAGGTGTGTTATTGAACACTTACCCCATCCAAAGAATATTGGAATAAACCACTGCATGGGACTAGGTTTTACTCCCTGTTTACCGTGACTCAAAGATGGAGTCCCTTCTCCTAAGCTTGAGGCTGAATCTGTGCAAAGGAACAGGTTTCAAAGACCCCGTGAATGGAGGCCACTTAAATCAGATGACGCGGTCGTAGAGCAGAGCAAATAAATCTGAGAATGGTGGGGACGGCATCTTTGAAGCAGGTTGGGAGAGGAGTGCGAGTTGCAGACATGGGTCATGAGAAAACACTGAACTTGATTGTGATTCGGCCGGCGATCGATTCTCAAATTCAAAACAAAAGGACGATGGCTCGTTGGAAGGTTTGGAATCACATGAAGGCGGTGCATTTTGTATCTCGTTCATCACAACTTGATCTTGATCCCGATGTCCATTAGAGCGCCCTTCGGAACCTCGCATCGCGCGTGAAAGCATGTTGATGTCTTCCTGGTCACTGTGCCACTGCACAGGTTGGACTGAGAGGTATGAGCCTGAAGTCTTCAAGCTGACGATGGCCCGCAAACACAAGTAAATCAAGGTCGACGGGCACTACAGAAAAGACCACTTGAAGGTCAGGTGGCAGGATCTAGTACACCAGCGAGACTTTCTTAAAGGTATTCACAAAGGCACCCAATGTGTTTTGATTCCAGAACGATGGTCCCCCTATCTGATACAGAAGGCTGATGGTGTGATAGGCTCATCACCATAGAAAGACGTCGTAAAATGCTCCGAAAGCTACTGCCGTCTTGGGATCGCCGATCTTACTTTCCTATTTACAGTGCAAGGGATGACAAAAGCTCCGGAGAGTTGCGCATATTACAGCCATGCTGAGCGTTCTTGTAAAAACAGGTAGATATTACACCATCAAAACACAAAACAAAACGTACCGAGCGCCTGAGGTGAAACATGGGTAGAAAACTGCCCTCCTTTAATTTCGTGTCCAGGATCGATGGACAAGGGGAGCAGGCGCAAGGTTTTGGCGATGATCAGTGGCTGTAAAATCCTGCTTCCTGGAATTTGCGGAAGACCATTCTCTTGCACAATTGCTGCGATACAACCTCGTTTCAACTTCCACAGGCCGCAAAGATCTCTTCTATCACCGCTGATGTACTTCCTCTATAAATACGAGCTACGGTGGGTCCCCCATCACCATGAGAAGTCAATCGCATTCAAAAGACGGAGAAGCACGCACTCAAGAATTGGAGAAGATCATCAGATGCCAAAGCATTGGGCCAAAGAACGTAGCAATATCGTTCATAAAATTTATTTACTTTGGCCAAAGAAAAAAACAAAAACGAGAACTCTTTTCTTCAGTTAAGCAAATCCAAACCCTTTCCTTGCTGATACGCACATAATTATGTTAAGTGATTCAATCTAAATTAAATCAACTTAAAACCCTAAGCCACCCCCCTTAAAAAAATTCTGCCAGCATTTATGCTGAGAATTTTTGCTTTAAGGTAGAGTTGCTACAGGGATTTAAGATAACGCATCCCCCTTCTGGGTATCCAAGGGTCATTTGACCACAGGGACCCGAGGAATGCGGTGTGTGATCTCAATTTGGCTGACTCGTTGGCTCTCTATTTATACTTTTTTCTGCGCTGCCATTTTTTACATCTAGGCATTGAATCGGCAACGCTTGCTTATCAAACGCTTTGAAAAGCATGCTTATCAAACGCTCTGAAAAGCACTCCTTCTCAGCTCAACCAATCCAAATGTCCCCAAGCGACACCTATATGTGTTTCAATAGCAATTCACACTTGCTTTTCAAAAGCAATAAAGCTAATCTTACTGCTTTAGATGCCTTGAATGTCCGCAACCATGATCCTTATGATTTTAAATAGCATTTTAACGTATCTTATTCCGTACATTGCACCAAATCCCTATGCTTTCCAACAGGACTGAAACCCCAGCCATGTGATTGTTGTTAAGCTTGCGAGCTTTTGCATTTGAACATCATCATTGATGCTGTCTAAAAGTAGGCGCTCAATCCACTCCACAACCCCTCAAAAGCTAGCTTAACACAAGCCCCCCACTGCCTGCGTCCCCCGGAGCCTGCGCAGGGGGGCTTGCGGCTTATACGCAAATACCCGCGTGATTAGATTTGAAGTTGGCAGGGAATATCTCCGTTCTCCCTTTCCACCACCTTACACATTACAAATCTTTGAAGAAAAAAGACGAAATGAAAGATCAGCTTCCTACAAATCTTTTGCCCTACTCAGATACTTCTGAGCTGCTCCTGAACTTGAGATTCAAAAGGACTTCTTAATTTGTAAATTGAAATTTCAAACCTCACATCTGCTGCGACTACAGTAAATTTTACATATGAATGACTTAAAGGATAAATCTATTAAAGACTTTCTCTGTGCGAACCCATGCGGTGATTGGAGCAGGAGCTCCTCAGCCAATTATCGTTCTGCTCATCGTATTTGCTTTATTTCTTCATTGAATTCCCTCTTGTGAGATTCATCTATCGCCATAAAGAACCAAACACAATGGGCAGTTCTGATGAATCAGAGGACGATTTTGTCTTGGATCCTTTGCTTAATGTTCCGGAAATACCGAAGTCAGTAGATACAATCGATCCAATTGAAATGATCTGTCAATTTATGACAAAGCACCAGACCAACACAAAAAAATTCCTTATTGCATACCTGCGATCTACCAATGAAAGCATTGTCCGACGTAAAAAACAGTGGGGATCTGTGAAAAGAGGGTGGCAGACTACTGAGGAAGTTCTAGACGCAGTTGACGAGCTGGTTAATCAAAAGCCAGAATGCCGACAAAAGTGGAATGACTGGGTTCTTAAAAAGGTGTGAATCAAGCGCACCTTGCTATGAGCGGCTATATGAATCACTGATCAGATACATACTTGATTTCAGGCCAAAGTCATTGTAGCATCACAGTCTACGCCACCACAAAGTCTGTTTATCAACACGAACAAGATCGACACTGGTCTCTTTGATCACGATTCAGATATAAAACGAGAGACAGCAGTGGTTGCAGGCATGGGCTTCCTGCACAGCTTAATCACGCACAAGTTGGAACATGAATATAACTCTTCCAGAGCAAGCCGTAACCGATCCGGACGCCAAACCGTGATTTATGAAGGCTCAAACCCTGAATCGGACTCAGAATCGGATGTAGATAGTGATTTTGACACGTCTTGCAATAGTGGTGCTCATGAATCTCATGCCATTGCGAGTAGACAGCAAACAGTAGGAGATTATGTTTATCATAAATCAAAGGACAGAGTTGAAAATATCAAGAACCGATTCAAGACGGTGAGGGTCTTCATTTCAAAACACACCCTGTAATTAACATTTGACTGATGCTTCAAGTCGAGTCATTTGATCATAGATTGCGCTGACAGTGATTCAAATGATTGCTTATGGTTGTAATCGACGTTGTAACGCACTTCAAGTTGAAAATTCACTTGCGCTACTAGCGTGCGGGGTCTCTGAGCGAGTCAATCAATATCTACATCAGATAGGCCTTAGTGCATGTCAAAAATCAGCGCTTCGTGGAATTTTAACACTAGCAAAGGCAAAATCGGTCACGATCAAGAAAAAAATTAAAGCTGCTGGGGCTTTCGGGGTTTTTCTGTGTATTGATAATCTTGACATGATGGAACGTGTTCATAGTCGTAGAATTGATGCTACTAGCAAGACATATCATGGTACTTGGGGTTACGTTCACTTTGTGAACCCCGAGCTCCTGACCGGGCTTGATCCAAGCCTCTGTACTCTTCCTGTGCTTCAGAAAATTCTCAAGGATGACTGTGAACGACCAGTTGATTCGGGTGAATTACTTCGTAGTAAAGGTGAGCAAGAGTGTTGGGTAGCCACTTTGAAAAACCAAGTGGCTGTGGTGCTTCTGCGATATATGATCAAGCCCAAGAAGTACAAGGACATGAAAATCTTGAATCTTGCTGTTATTGACCAAATCAAGCCAGAAAAGCCCGATATCGATATGCTCAAGTTGATGGACTCTTCCGACAATGGCTCAGATGGAATAGCCTCATTATACGATGACCTAATTAAACAGACTGGCCTTTCACCCGAGGATTTCTCAGAACACCCTCAGATCATTGAAGGCGATTTGGGAACTTGTCTGAACTTCCATGGCTTGCAGAGACAACGGAAACCTTCGGCTTTTTCCGACGAGAGTCTTGCGCATCTGGTCATGATTCCAGGTGCTGGTCATACACTATGGAACATTTCTCAAGCGCTTTTATTACATCACTGGGGGAATCCAGATGATAAGACCGATTTGGGAGCTTGGAGGACAGCAGTTGAACTCGGTGCAAAGAAGGATAGACCTACAGCAAAAAAAGATTTCACATCAATGATACGATTGATTGAACAAATACACGAGGCTACAATCACTTACTGTATCTTGTATGTACCAGTCTGGTCAATACAATTTTGAAATATGTATTTGATTTCTGATCATTTTTGTTTGGCCCAACAAATCTATTAATTGTTAGTGAAATACTGGGACTTCCTACAGAGACCGTTGAAAATCCTATCGATCTCTCCGTTGAGGAATTTCAGAATGCGGTCGACAAGGTCTTTGTCACCTACTTTTCTGGCTGAGCCCTCCGCAAAGCACGCCAAGAACTGGATGGTAACCGAGAACGTCTTTTACTTAGGATTCGAGACTTCGCAACAATTGTGGAGGCCAATCGGGCTATGTCAGATGGTGACATTGGACGATTACTTCTGGTATGGAAGCAGTGGAGTGTCATGACTCAGGGGATCAAAGGCCTATGTCATTATTCACAATATCTCCCTCGCCTCATTCGGCTACTCACGATTGTACTCCCAAAACCGCTGGCCAAGGTTATCCTCCACTCCCTTCTGATCTCACCAACTGGACGACCAGGTCACTTTGTGGCCAAAGATTTTTATCTGGAGGTCAAAAATTGGTGGCTGAAGTTCTTCTACAACCACGCGGTATGTATCTGTTCATAATTGATGATGCGAGTTCCATTTTACACATGTTCAGCTCACTCGGGCATTGGCAAAAATTATTCAGGGCCCTGGAACAGACATTCAGCGTCTCAAAGAACAGTATTCCCTCACAGTTGGAGTGGTAAGTAAATTTTAAACTGAGAAATACATCGTCATCATACTAATTTATACTATATAAACAGCTTTCAGAATCGGTCGATAAAATGAAAGGTAGAGCTGGTGTCAATCTGACACGACAGTCACATAAAAATAAATCAACTGCATCATCAATGATGCGCTTTTTGAATATGGCGAAAAGCGAGCAAATCACTAAGCCCAAATTAAGCCCAAAGAAACAAAGCCCAATCACAGACATCCATCGCCTTGGTATCAAGAAGCTTCGAGAAGACTTTTCTCGTGGTCGCCTTGAACGCTTCCACTGGCCTCTTGTATCGAACTACAGTCGCGAAATGGAGAATGATGAAGATCAGGATGATGAAGTCCGTGATGGTTTTGGAGATCTTGATGAAGAGTTTGTGAAATGGGTAAGCGAAGGTTAAAACTCACTTTTGGTAAGCCAATTCCATTTCATCCAGTCGGTTTTCTGGTACTTTATCTTTCAACCACTTCAAGCAACGTTTGTTGTATTCTTTTTTGAGTGTTGCTGCCTTGTTATCTGCTAGAACCTGAGCTGATGTTCTCCTTGTTTTCTTCTGTCTTGATATACCAGGTGTAGGCACAATTACACGGTCTGGCTGGTTTGAAGTCTTATTTAATTCCTTTGATGACTGTTTTTCTTCTTCTGCTATCATTTCCAATGTGATCTGCTTCCTCCGATGTTTGTATTCCATCCCAATATCTCGAGTCTTCCAATCAGATATGTAGTTAAACACTGTATCTACACCTCCAACAAGTAAATCTCCTCCCATCAATTTTTTAACATCAGACGCACATGTAATATTATCAAGTGACTGTACTATTCCTTTGGCTTCATCAAGACCAAAGTAGTCTGTACTTTCGCAGTAATCGTCCTCCCCGAATATATCTTGGTAATGAAGATCAAAGATGTAAACCAACTCATCTGCAAGCTCCTCCAGAGCAGGGTCCAAGAGTGCTCCTCGCTTTTTTTTTACACTCTTACTACCACTTCCTTTGCCATCGTCTGCTGAAACCTTCGTGCCTTCTTTTTCTTTCGGATATGTGAAACCTTCAACATTAAACAAATCTTCCATCGCTTGCTTATAATTCCCTTTGCACAATCTTGGTAAATTATGGACAAGATAATCAGCGGCTTCCGAGTCGCAGTTTGAACATTTGCACGAGGGAAAACCTTCTTTCAACTCTCGCATCTGTTCAGTTAAGACACGAGGATCCTCCTTGCTGCCGGGAATCACACCAATACTGGGTTTCCGTATCATGATACACATGTAAGTTTCAGTCACTCTTATGACATGATAAACAACGTACTCACGTATTTCCCAAGGAGAGAGCAACTCGCAAACAGATATGTGTAAAAGCAAACGAGTCCATTAAAACATCATCTGACATTTCACGTTTATTGTTCACATCGTCAACACTATTGGCACCTTTCACCCAATTACTTTCAACAAAATGAAGAGCAAGACCTGGATGTTTCCCTTGGCCACATCTTCCAAACAGTTGCGCTAGTTCTGCAATTTCTGTACGTCCTATGACCACCACTTCCATCACTGATGGCCAATCCTGACCTAGTCCAAGAGCATTAGTACAAGATATGATTGGAAATTTGTCTTGGGTGTATGCTTCAATATCTCGGAGCTTCTGCTTCTGTCCAGTGCAAGAATGATATCTTCGGATTAAAGAACTATCGGGGTTGTCTTCCTCTCCGGCTGTTCCTCGGAATTTGTTAACGGCTTCTAAGATGGTGTATGCTCCATTTCTTGAACTAGAATAAATGAGGGTCTTGAGGAGTTGATCATCAGGGAGTACATCCTTTTTAGCATAGATTGTTGCAAGAGCTGAGGCAGGTGCAACCCCGTACTTTATCGGAATGCGAATGATTCTGATGTTTGACCGACTGAGTTCCCCTCTCAGAATCGTGAGATCGCTTTCCTGGATGCTTAAGTTGTTCAGGATGGCGGAAAAAGGTCGAGGTGCACAGGTTGCTGACATTAATAGCAGTGGAATCTTGTTCGTAGCTAGCAGACGAATGAAGAGATCACCGTACGATGGTTGAAATTGACCTCCATCTTGTTGGCGCATGAAGGCATTAGAATGCTTCGCTTGTCCTCCTTGTACCATCCCCCACCAGTAAATCATATGTGCTTCATCGATTACTTTGAGAACCAAGCGATCCTGAAACCACTCACTAAAATACATCTTTTCAAACAGTTTATTATTCAAAAAGATCTCCGGGCTCTTTGAGCGGAAAAGACAGATTTGTATATCAGGGACCCGATATCTTGTTACTTTTCACCCTTAAAGAGTAATTCTCACCACATAGATTACACTGTATGCCCCAGCAATAATGTCCAAGACTACTTCTTCCATGAATTTGTCCTTGGTCAAGTTTACAGAGTTAATTTGCCAATTCTTCTTCTCGGCAACCTACAAATACAACCAGAGGCAACATTCAATTTTGAACCGATTAAAAGACTCTGTCCACATACCTGATTATCACCCAAGGCGTCTAGCGGATTTATGACAATTTCTAAAGCTTTCGAATGTTTAGGAAATAGAGCTAGAACCATCTCCGCAATCCTTGTTTTTCCATAACCCGTTCCAGCCAACAAGAAGGTGTCGCGTCCTCTGACCAATGCAATGACGGCTTTGACTTGTAAAGGTTTCGCTTCGGTTTTATATTTCTTCATATGATTCTCCTTGATCAAATCAGATAACATATCATCTGTAAGAGCCAATATCTCCTCAGGAATCACAACTTTTAATCTTGTTTGCTTCGGCACTGAACTCGCAGGCGCGCGTGCAAGGTTCTCAATCGCTCTTCGATTCTTTTTAGGTGTTTCTTGATCCTTATCCGAACTTCGAAGGTTTCGTGTCGAGGAGATGACTGTAGACGCCATGACCAACAGATAATCAAAAAATCTATCAACTTCTTAATAGTGAAATCCGCGCTGGGCCTTTTGAGTTGAAGGTTTTTTTTTATTTGAGAGTTGTTCCTTGTGTCTATCTACCCAGTCTCTCTGTTGCTCCCATTCTCTCTTCAGTATCTCTGTTGTCGCTCTCTCTCTCTCTTGCTTGTCCAAAACGTATTGGACAAGACAACAAGATGTAACATTCGCCGCAGTGGTCTGAATGAGCATCCGAAACGTTACATAGTTTCCAATTCAGCTGGCCTCAAAATTTTATAACCAACTGATGTGATGGTTCTTAATCGACTATGTACAAGAAGCACGAAAATGTTTTGGCCAACTCAGAATTTTGGAGGGGTTGATCATAGAAGATGTACAGTGGAAGTAGTCAAAAATGGCCGAAAAAGTGAGATTTTGAAATCTAATCACGCGAAGAAGTGTGTATAAGTCGTAAGTCCCTCCTCCGTCGGTCTCGCGCGGAGGACGGACTTTGTTAAGTTAGCCTCAAAAGGGCCTACATATAGCTATTTTTACCGCGGCTTTGAAAGCTTCAAGTATTCTCAAAGCGAACACCTCATCAATTGCTTTTTGAAAGTAGTCACATAGCTTTTCATCCCTCAACAGCTCTTATAACCCAACACGATCGTGATTGTTTTCTGAAAGCTGCCATTTGTGAATTCTATTGAATCCATATGCATTCCAAAAGCACTTACAACTTAGCCATGTGATTGTTGTTAAGCGTGTCCACTTTCACATCTTACATATATGCTTTTGACACTCTTATGTCTGCTTTTTGATCGCTTTTAAACAGCAATTCTTATCAGCGCTTATTCGCTTCAAACGTCTCCACCCACCACCGTGATCCTTCTGATCATTACTTCAACCTTGCTTTTCCAAATCACCAATTCAACACAATATCAAATAATTCCTTTTTCATATTCATATGAGTCCAACTCCATCAAAGTCAAGTCTTGTATGTTACATACCACCAAGAAACTCATTCTCACTTTTTAAGACGAAGATGTGTTCATTGACTTGGCCAACAAATTTGGATTTCAGAGAGACTCGATGAGGAACGTTTGCGATCATCTGATGATTCAACTTGATGTGAGTTTCTTCTCTCTTGATTCTCGACGCTGATTAAATCTCTTCCTCATCTGATTTGTCTGATCAGTCAAGGGCTTTGTTCATGTCTCGCTCACAAGCCTTATTGTGACCTTACACGCCGATTACATTGGTGGTGAACATGCCAACTATTGTAAATGGTACTTTGCCGCTCAACTCGATCTCGATGATGCAATCGGCCAGACATCTCATGCTATCCTCGGGTTGACCAAACCGGCAAAAAAATTGAAATCAGCCTCTGCCGAGTCATTGGAATCTGCTCAAACGCGCTGGCAACAGGCTATGCCCAACATGTCCTCTTACGATCGCATGCGTCAGATAGCACTCTATCTTCTTGTTTGGGGTGAAGCTGCCCAAGTTCGGTTCATGCCTGAATGTCTCTGTTTCATCTTCAAATGTGCAGATGATTAGTATTGTTCTCCAGAATGTCAAAATCGGGTCGAACCTGTTCCGCAAGGTCTTTACTTACGGGCTGTGATCAGGCCGCTTGATCGATTTTTCAGGGATCAAGGATATGAATTGATTGATGGCATCTTCATGCGAAGAGAACAAGATCATATGGACATCATTGGATACAATGACATCAATTCACTGTTTTGAGACCCTGAAGGAATTGCCAAGATTGTACTCAATGATTGAGTATGTCATATTTCTTGACCTCCTCGCCTGATTGCTCTCAGCTAACTGCTCTTGATTCTTTCAGACTCGCCTGATTGACATCCCCTGCTCAGAGGTACATGGAATTTGATAAAATCGAGTGGCGTCAAGCGTTCTTCAAGACATATCTAAAAAAACGTTCATTTGGTCACATGATTGTCATTTTCAATTGAATCTGGGTACTTCATATATATCAGCGTATACTGGGAATTTACTGCCTACAAATGAGTTGACGTCTTTTTTGTTGGGAATTTTGATCTGGACACCTTGGTCAGATTTTTTTACGCGTTTGCCCAAACAAATCTACGCAAAATTTCTTGCTACCTCCAAGATGCAAGCAAGGTATAAGCCCAAGGTCTTGGTATCTCAGATTTGGAATGTGATCATCACCTCAATGTATTATGAGCATTTACTGAGCATCAACCATGTCCAATGTCTTCTTTATGTATGTTGTTGTCTCTTTACTTGAACACATATAAGGAAAATGTTCAAAGATGTTGTTAAAAAGAAGATGTCTTGAAGAGATAGAGATGGGAAAAAAGATAGATAACATGTTGAGATGTATATTGAAAAAGAAGTCAAAAGATGGACATGTAAAAAAAATATGGAAAAAAATTAAATGCTTCTACAAATCAAACAGTCTGCTTCATCTAAAGATGATCTAAAAACAACAGGTAAGACCTAAATAAAAATATGACCGAGTGGGAAAAGAAAGTCAATCATTAGGTCATGTTAACCAAGAAGCTTTCAAGAAAGAAAAACTTATGATCAAGGCAATTAAGCTACCAATGATGATTGTATACAAGACTCCATAGGTGGCCACAATCTTTCGTCTTTGAGCTCTTTGCTTACACAAAAAGATTGGAGGTCAAATCTGTTTACTTGGTCTCAACCAAACTATGACCATGGCGGAGGCCATGGCCTGCACCCGGTATGGCATGCCCTGCTCTAGCCCTTGATAGACAGAGCCTCCACTTTATGAATCATGATACATCTCATATACCCTAGGCCTCTTGATCAACTCTCTTGACCTCTCAAACAAGTACAAGAACAGCCCTCAGTTTGCAAATCACATCCAAGAATTGGCATCTACAACCCCCGGAATTGGCAAACCGTTAGGTCTTCGTACTGAATGTCTGACTCGCTGGAATTCGCTCTCTCATGTCTGTGCCCGAGCTGTCCGGTTGAAGAATGTGATCAACTTCAAGCTTGATAATGATCCACAATACATCAACATCCGCATCAACGAGTCAGAATGGATATTACTTGAGAATCTTGTTCGGTTCCTCCAGCCTTTTGAAAGGATCACATCCGAACTCTCAGCATTGAACTACCCTACATTCTGTCTGGCAGCTCTAGCATACGGAAAAATGATGAAACGTCTCGAGACGGTAAGGACATATCACCTTGTGAATCTAATGCAAGTTTTGTGCTGATATCACTAACTCACATGACAGGCTATGGAAGCTTCATCCACGATACCTGGCCTCCGAGCTGCTATGAACCCAATGTATGATAAGCTTTGTGATTACAGGAACCAAGCAATCACAAAGCACACATACCTCATCGCTGCTGTACTTGATCCCAGGAACAAACTCGAAGGGATCTGTCCCAACATCTTATCGCGCGAGACTCTAGAAGATCACATACACACGGCGTGTACTCATCTAGGAATCTCTGAAGCACTTGAAGATTTCGAAACTCAAGAATTACATCCAAGCTCCGATTCGGACTTGATTGACAAAACTGTTGAGTCTGACCCTCAGA